GCAGCCGCAGTGGTGCATCAAGTCTTATGGTTTCAAAAGCCAGGTGGTTATGTTTCTTAATGCCTTAGTGTTAGCCTGAAATCTGTCACTTGTGCTTTCTGGTCAGCCCTGCAAAAGAGGCTTAAATTTGATGTGCGTATGCCTCCTTCTGTGTTATATTGCTGATAGTAAATGAGTTGAGTAATTTTTACCTGCAGTAAGCAGAACTGAATTCAGTTTGCAGCTCTCTGAGCCTCCTGTCAGGGCATATATACACAGAGGATTAGATTTATTTCACTGACTTAGTTCTGGCTCCTCAGAGATTTGTTGCTTAAGTGGTGGTGTAAAACCCCAGGATGTGTGCCAGGAGTAGGAATGTATGTGCATACATGTTATCAAACAGCTCTGAGCTTGATTTCTTTTTTTTTTTTTTTGGGGGGGGGGCTGTTTGCTTTGTTTTGTTCTGTTTTCCAAGCAGTAGTCTAATTTACTTCTGCGTCAGATCCTAAGCAGTGAGATACAGATGCAGCCTCAACTCCTCAAGTACATTTATTTCAACATCTTAAGAAGACAAATTCAACTTATGAGAACTTTCTACACAGTCTGTTGCATTTGACAGATGGTACCATCTTCTTACCTCTCCTTGGGGCCTTACAGTGCTGAATTGCAAGACTGATGTGTATGCACGTATAATGAATATTTAAAACTTAATCTGTTCAAATGCTCAACGAAAACTGACGGTGCACTATAGCGGATAGGAAAATGATTGTCTTCTATTTCGTTTTATTTTCCTTTAGTCATTCTGAAAACAAATTTGAGAGGAGAAATGTTTGTCCATTTTTAGAAGTCAGAGGAGCTAAGTAGTGCTGTGCTGCAGAGGGGCCTCGGTGGTAGAGCCTGCTGCCGAACAAGCTCTCCGCTTCAGCGGGGATGGGAGTGCCTGTCAGCCGTGATACCGATCACGAGGGAGGCTTCGGGAGCCAGAACAGCACAAGAACTGTACTTAGGAAGTTCTTCAGGAAGCAGCCCAGCTTTGTGCTCACACAGGGGGCAATTGAGGGGAAAAAACCCCCAAAACTCAACCAAAAAAAAAAAAACCTAAATCAAAGCCAGAGCATCCAAACTAATATGCTGAAGCGGTGTGTGTTCATCAGCATTTCTGAAAATGCTGCCAAATTCTCACTTTACAGCTTTTATTCACCGTCAGGGTTATGTTTCTGGGTGTTTTTCCCCCCCCAGTGACAGTAGCAGGAACTGATGTCTGTCTTCTGTGACCTTGGCATGCCATAGGCCATAGGACCCTTTTCTTCCCCAAAACAAAGAAAGCTAATGAGCAACAGAACTGACTCCTAGAACATTGTGGTAAAAAAGAATCTCTGCAGGTCTTTTCAGAGGCTGAGAGGAGGAGGGTGGGTTAAGCTATACAAGGAGCTTCCCTGTGCTTGTCTTGCCTCAGCCTCGCTGGGCAGAGGTGGAAAGAGAAGTGTTGCACTTCTGAGCAACCTGGCTGCAGGTTTCCCAGCGGTGGTGGTGAGTGAGTTTAGGATGTCACTTGCTGCTGCCTCTGCAGCAGAGGAGAGGATGCATTTGCTCTTCAGCTGCTGAGGATGAAGAGAGTATTTCCATTTCTGCTGCATCAGTGCGGGGCAAGAAACCTTTGTCAGAAGGGAAGGGACAGCTGTTGAGAGTAGTTTCATATACTGGAGATGAGGACTGAGATTTGGAGCCTTATGGTCTATAGTGGTGATACCTGTGAGTGTATTTTGTGGAGTAATCAGCAGAACTGTTGGGAGAAAAGCTTTTAGCTGTTTTTGTGACTCTTTTTTTGTGAGTGTAATGGGTTGCAGCACTGTCCTGTGGTGGGAATGAATCTGCCTGAAGTCAATAGTTAAGTATTGTTTGCAGCTTCACAGCTTGTCTCTATGGTTCATTCCATTACTTTCTAGCTGTTGTAATTAAATGTAGCACAATCAGTGATTGTGGGGGAGTTCCTGATGTGCTTGAATGCGTTATTATTACTGGCATTGTCTTCACTGGCAAAGATGAAAGTGAACCCTTTCCCCTTATCCCTGTTATTCCCATCTTCCGTATGTTACCTTTGTCGCTTCTGTCCTCTTTCTTCATGATTCAGCATACCGTATGAGGTTGCTCAAAGTTAACCATTTTAGTAAATGTCTTTCAACCAAGCTAAAGAAACCCCCAAAACACCCCACTATTGTATAGTCTGATTCTGTCAGAGAAACATGAACCTGACATCTGCTTTGCCACTGTACAGACTCCTGGCAGGCTCTGGAAAAAAAGGAAAATTTCCCATGTCTTTCCAATTCCTTGTGCAAGCCATGATTCAGCAAGGCAGCCACGAGGATGATGGTGCAAGAGAGATTATGCCTAGCTGCTGTTAAATAAACAGCCTCCTTTTTCTCTTTGTGGGAGAGAGCTGAAAAGGAGCTTCAGGGAGTGTTTGCACTCCTCTTTCTTTTTCCCCTTCTTTAATCCCACCTCCAGTCACTGGCCATAATGCCAAACCTCCACAGCAATTTCAAAAGTACTTCCTGATGCTGTGGAAACTTTCCCTGCATAATGAAGACAAGGAAGGGATAAAGGAGAGGGGAACTGCTCTTTTCTTCACTCAGCTGTCAGAAAGAGACTAGCTGTTTGTATTAGAACCTGAACAAAATGATTGATTTTTAACTTCTGAGGATGACTGAAGGATCAGACTTTTGTTTCTTTAAGTGATTTGTTGTGACTGAAGCTGGACTAGTGTATTTAAACTATGAATTCTAAGCTGCTGTGCATTGAAATGATCTTTCGTGCAAAATAGTTTTGGATCTAGCACTTTGTCTTTGAAACAGCTATTCATAAATTATAGTACCTTGAGTTAGCAAATCAGTCACATGTGTCAAGTTTTTCTGAAAAGCTGAGGTTTTATTGAACCACAGATTTAATGATTTTGAAGGATTTTGTTGGACTGCAGTTGATGGAGACAGTCCCTTAGTGGGAAGTTGGTGCCCGAGCTCTTTCTGCCACTCCAGTCTGCTCTACCAGCCCTGCAGCATCTCTTCCTCCTGACTCTTCAGGGAATTATTATGGGCTTGGAGGGCCAAGTCTGTTCTTGTCTGGTTTCATATGCAGGTTGGTTGTTTATCCTTATATCCTGCTCCTGCTAATATCAGGCAGTACAAAAATACAGAGAAAATAATAGGGCTTATTTTAGAAAGATAAAAAAAGGGCTACTCATGGTGTCTCTTTCTTCACATAGCATAACATTCTGATGTTAAAGTTATGTGATATGCTTATTTACCTACAATTTATTTAGCTGCCTGATTTAATGTCTTTGTTCAAAAGGAGAAGTGCTTTCTTTTTTGTTCCCATCTGGATAAGTAAGTACCCTGTATCCTGCTTTTTTGTGATATTAGCATAAGCCCCACTTTAATATGACCATCTATATCTCATTTGGTGGTTCAGATGAGAAATTTGTATGTCTCAAATAAGTTGCATGCATTTTGTCTAAACAAAATGTAACGTTAGGGAACCATTTGGAGTTAAAATCCCTGTGCTGAGACCAGCTGTTAGATTGCAAGGTTCTTAAATTTTTTCCCATATTGCAGTGTAGGTACTGGAAAATCTAGAAGATCCTGTAGATAACTTGCAACATCTGAAAGAACAATTACTGAGTGAACTGGGAATATTGTTACAGGATGGGAATCACAGTCTGATTCATAACAGCATCCCTGCAGCTAGGTTTGAATGTTGCAGGTCAATTTATCAGTCCATCATCAGGCAGAGGGCTTGAAGGCGCGTTTGTCTAGGTGGGTGCTGCACAGCTTTGACTGCTGGTCCCCACTGGTCTTTAAGTAGATGGAGAAACCAGCACATGTTCAGTTTTTAGTTGCACTGCCAGAATTTTACTTTATGCTGCCTGTGCCTCTGAAGGTATTTGTGCAGAAATTATGTTTTCATGGGTGTTTATGTTGATAATTTTAATCGTTCTTGAGCCCTTCTTCTCTGCTCTCGTGAGACCTCACTTGGAGTATTGTGTATAGTTCTGGTGTCCTCAACATAAAAAGGGCATGGAACTGTTGGAACAAGTCCAGAGGAGGGCCGTATGAAGGTAGGCTGAGAAAGTTGGGGCTGTTCAGCCTGGAGAAGAGAAGGCTGCATGAAAACCTCGTAGCAGCCTTCCGGTGTCTAAAGGGGGCCTATATGGCTGATGGAGAGGGACTATTCCTTAGGGACTGTAGTGACAGGACAAGGGATAATGCATTAAACAGGGGAAGTTTAGATTGAATATAAGGAAGAAATTCTTTACTGAGGCACTGGAATGGGTTGCCCAGGGAGGTTGGAATGCTCCATCCCTGGCAGTATTCGAGGCCAGGTTGGACAGAGCCTTGAGGGGCATGGTTTAGTGTGAGATGTCCCTGCCCATGGCAGGGGGGTTGGAACTAGATGATCTTAAGGTCCTTTCCAACCCTAACTATTCTGTGATTCATGACATAAACCTCTTGCTTTGTGTCATGTGGGGCCTCCAGCACAAGAGGGACATGGAGCTGTTGGAGCAAGTCCAGAGGAAGCCACGGGGATGCTCTGAGGACTGGAGCAGCTCTGTTCTGAGACAGACTGAGAGAGCTGGGCTTGTTCAGCCTGGACAAGGCTCCAGGGAGACCGTAGAGCAGCTTCCAGTGCCTAAAGGGGCTACAAGAAACCTGGAGAGAGGCTTCGGTCAAGGACCTTTAGGGACAGACAGGACAAGGGGGAATGGCTTTAACCTGACAGAGGGGAGATTGGGATTAAATATTAGAGAAAAAATCTTCCCTGTGAGGGTGCTGAGGCACTGGCACAGGGTGCCTAAAGAAGCTGTGGCTGCCCCATCCCTGATCCCACATCAGTGTCTGCCAGTGCAGTGCTTACTGAGTTCTTCAGAGTTGAATTATACCTCCTTTCCCTGTTGTCCAGCAGAAGAAATTATACATTTATGTATTCTATGTTCCCTTCTTAAGTTAAAACAAATATTTCTCTTTCAGTGCTTTCACTAGCTATTGGGAACCATGTCTGTCAACGGAGAAGTGGAAGACAAGCCACCAGCTCCTCCTGTCCGGATGAGCAGTGCTATCGTCACTGCAGGGGGTAAAGACCAGTTGTCTGCCAACCACAGTTTGAAACCCCTGCCCTCTGTACCAGAAGAGAGAAAACCTAGGAATAAAATCATCTCCATATTCTTTATCACTGAAAAAGGTGAGATTTCTCTGTTTTTCAAGGTTACTAGTTGTATTCCTTTACTCTTCTTGTAAGTTTTGGTAGTGCTTCAGACATTTGGATCCAGCCTGGCCAAGTGCAGGGGATTGGAGGAAGGGTTGAAAGTTGGATATGCGTGTTCTGTGAACTGAGATGTTTTTTCCTGCTTGCACTGGGATGTTTTAAGACGAAGTGCTAAGTAAGAAAAATTGAACAGTTCACGAAGGAAAATCAGCACCTATTGCTTCTCATGCTTGCTGCCCAGTTTAAAGTAATGCATTTCTAAACAACCCTGATAGATGTTTGTGATTCCTGGGTGTCAGATCACTTACCATTTTGCTACACTAAATGCAGGTTTTTAGTTTAAACTATTTTGGGAAGTTGCTTCATGTTGATGACTATTTATGTGGTACCTTGAGGAGAAAAAACGGTAATAAAGAAATAGTAGCGAGCGTGCACTGTGTTTGAAGGAGAATTGAGAAATTAAGTCTCTGTCACTGTACCATTAGGAATAATTACTAATGGAAAAATCTGGAATGCTGTAAGCAAGGATTATTTGTGAGAAAAAATGACTGGAATGAAACTGGACTGTGTTTGTGCTTTGTTTCTATCCTCTTTTTCTGTATGATGAATGTATATACAGCATTAAGAGTCCTGATCCTGGTTCTCCAGGATGTCTGTATCCATGTAGAACAAAATAGTGGATAGAAGTATCTTCTAACATCTGGTATGGTAAAACTGTTGCAGTGGTGTACAAGCCTGATGTTGCTGATGTGCTGGGCAGACTGGTTCAGTCATGCTGGCACAGGTTTGACTGTTTCAGGAGACTCTGCTCCTCTGGTTATGTATTCTCTTGGCTCAGTATTTTCCCAAGGGCTGGAATTTACTCTTGCTTAGCTGTATGAGCAGTTCCTCTGCAGCCATGCCTCACACAGGAGACAAATGCTGGAGGCTTCCCTGTATTCAGAAGGTCAGGCTTTTCATGATCTGGCAGAGTTTTCTGCTTTTGACAGCGGGTGTGCTTTCCTTTTTGGAGGATGGAAGGATTTGACCAGTGTAGTTTTTGGAAGCAGGATAGTTATTTCACAAGGTCACTTACTGTGAAATAACTGTCGGTGGCTAGATTTCACCAGTAGAAGTAGTGGTGTTTTTACTGACATGGGTAAAACCTTAAGGAGGTAAATCTGTAAGGAGAACATGAGAAGCTACTACAGGTTGGTGGAAGCACCCCAAGAGAGAGACTCCAGGCCCCTGTGGCTGGTAAAGGTGATGAATCTGGGTGCTGTCAGCTTGGTGTAGTGCCATGTGTCTGGACCAGGTTCTGACTTAGCCCTTCAATACTGCAGAAACTGGTGTTTTATCATTATGTCACTGGTCATGGGAGGAAGTGCCTTGAAATTCTCATGGTGAGTGTTGCAAGGAAATCTTGTGGAAGGATCACATCTGCCATCTTCAGGCTAGGAGAACAGCTTATGAACTGATCTGACACTTGTCATTAGGCTGTTGGATTGATTATTCATCAGACCGTTTGTAACCCTTTTGTTACAGTTGGGGATATGATGAAGTGGAACATAAACCCCACGTAAAGGAAGCTTTTCCTTGCTCTGAATTAGTAATACTATGTAAGACTTGTTTGTGTTGTGAAATGAATTATGAATGCAAGTGGCTATAGTGCAGTTGGAGAGCTCTGTGACATTTCACAGTGTCTTTACTTCTCCTTGGACGTTTCCTCTTTCCATCTTGAGGGTGGGTTTGTTCATTGCTGAAATGGCCAGGGAGGCAATTGAAGACTTGTCTGAAGTTGTATTTGCTCATCTGAAATTGCTTTGCTAAAGTGCTTTACTAAAGCTTATTCAGACCACTCTGGTAAATGCTGACATGTATCAGAGTTACGGATGTTGATCTGCATACTTGTTTAGCAGATGTCTGTGTACTACTTCCATTTAGTGATGCACACTAAAAATGGAGAAAATAAATTCTGCAGAATAAAACACTTTTTAGAGAAAATAGTGTCAGTTTATGTTTTCTAAATGTTAAAAAAGTATTTAAAGTAATGTCCTTTACATTAAAGGCAGGTTGGAAAAAAGCAGGTTTTACTGCATGGCAGTAGTGGTTAGGAAAAATGGTAATTGAATTACTTAGTTTAAAGAAATTATCTGAAAGTGGCATTTTTTTAATCTGGATTAAACATGGTGGATTGGGTCACCTGCTGCAGGAGTAATGTAAGCATTTAAAGAAATTGTTTTGTCTCTCAAGACTGCAAAACTGGCAGCCAAATGTAAGCAGAATGGAAATGGGCACAGTGATTTTCTGGCACTAAAACAGCAGTCAGAAGTTAGTTGTTCTGTTCATTAGCATGACTGAGCACCCTTACCAGAAATGCCCATTTAAATGCATTTGAGGAAAAAAAAATTCTGTTGCTGGGAAGCTTTAGAATGTGTGATTCTTTACAGAAATGCTAATTTACTGCTTGGATTTTAAAAATATGTTGGAACTATATGCAAAATAATCTGTCAACCTGAGACAGAAATTTTTTCATGGGAAAAATTTCTCCAGCCAGTGTAAATGTTAACAAATTCCTACCGGAATGATAAATTCTCCTTTTCAGAATCTGAAGGGATGCTTTACCAGGAGATGTACAATGCCACCACAGACCTGTTGCTGGATAATGTTTGGCTTTGTTCTGTAGATCTGTCTGTATGATTTTGCAAGGTCCTTCCTGGGCAGCTTTGGCCCTCTCTGTCCTCTCTTGGCAGCTTTCTCTAGCTTAGAAGGTGGCACTGGGGAGTCAGTGGTCTTGGGGGATGACTCACTGCAGATGGTGAGGTTGAGAAAATGCACAGTCTCTGCCCCAGGTAGCTAGTTCTGTGCTGAAGCAAGTCCAGAAGAGGTCACGAAGATGCTGCGAGGGCTGAAGCACCTCTGCTATGGAGACAGGCTGTGAGAGCTCCAGGCTGGTTCAGCCTGGAGAAGAGAAGGCTCCAGGGAGACCTTAGAGCAGCTTCCAGTGCCTCATGGGGCTGCGAGAAACCTGGAGAGGGGCTTTTGACAAGGGTCTGTAGGAACAGGACAAGGGGAAGTGGCTTTAAACTGACAGAGGGGAAGTTCAGGTTTGACACTGGGAAGAAGTTCTTCCCTGTGAGGGTGGTGAGGCACTGCACAGGGTGCCCAGAGAAGTTGTGGCTGCCCCATCCCTGGCAGTGTTCAAGGCCAGGTTGGACAGGGCTTGAAGCAACATGGTCTAGTGGAAGGTGTCCCTGCCTGTGGCAGGGGGTTGGAACTGGATGAGCTTCAAGGTCCCTTCCAACCCAAGCCAGTCTGGGGTTCTTTGACATAATCACAAGAGTTTGAAGGGATTATTTAATGACCTAGTCATGGAGGGGTTTTCCCCATAGTTTCACTGCTTAGGATAAATGAAGTGATAGTCATTTTTTACTAGAGTACTTAATTGCCATTAATTTGCCAGTCAAATGAACTTGTTTGTGTTTGAAAAGCTTTAAAATAGTCCCCTAAACCAAGAAATGCTTGTCTTCAAGCAGAACTTACTAGAGGAGGTGCTGTGGGGCATTACCCAGGACCAGGGATCACGCATGGAACATGCTCTGCCCTGCTGGCTCAGGGCAATTTTTGTTGTGGTTTCAGCTGCAGCTCAGTAACTCAAAGTGTACCATTTGGAGTCATCTAACTACTACATCCAGGCTGTTGAGAAACACCTGTGTTTCATGCCTTATGTACGAAGGGTGGCTGGTGGGAAGTGAGGTGTACTTGAGGATGGGTTTGTGATGTAGGAGGGTGTGTGAAGTACCTTGGGTGATGCCATGTAGAGCGCCTGTCGCTTCAGTTGGGGAAAAGTCCAGTTTGAGATACTTCATCAGAGCAATTCTCCAATTTGCTAGATCCTTATGAAGGACCTGTGGCTTCCTCTTCCCAGGAACAGGGGGACTTCATGCTGCTTTCTCTGCACAGCTGAGGGACCACATCTTAGATTCACTTGACATTTGAAACTAGTGTTGCCCTGTAATAACAGGATTCCCATTTAAGTACCTAACTGTGTTGCAGATATAATCAGAGATTGAAAAGAGCAGTGTGGCCTCATGGTGGCCTTGTTCACAGAGCCCTTGAGTGTGTTCTGCCAACTCAGGACTCCAGGGACTTGCTCTTGATTGAAGCTCCCTGCTTATGTTCATTTGAAATGCTGCTCTGCTGTTCCTGTGGGCAGAGGAGTGAATTTTAGTCTCCTTGCCTAGGCTACCAGTAAGATCTATGTGTTTTTAGGAGTGGGTTTTTTTGCACAGCACTTCTGAGGGTCTGAGTACCAGCTCCTGTTCCCTACATGTCAAGTGCTCCTTAATAGGAATCTTCTGGGGAATATCCCATCTTCCTTGTTTTCACATAAACAGATGCAAAAGACTGGGGAGAAACAGTACTTTCCTTAAAGGTTTTCACATAAGCAAGTTTATTCTGTCCTATGGCGGCTTAACAGTGTTAATGGGAACATTTGACAGTCCATTTGCTTTTTGGCTCTGACCTGTGCAGCCATATTAAAGATATCCTGTTTATAATAGCAGCGTCTTTCCACTGCATTGTTCAGCTGGAGATAGCCCACATGGCTTTTCATTTGTATGTATTGTGTTCTGTTCCTTGTCCTTCCCCTCCCGCCAACGTGAGGGAATTTCAGACAGATTCTCTGGCTCTGAGCAGCACAATCTATGCTTGTCCCATGTTGGGGAGCTGGACTAGATGAGAGGTCACTTCCAGCCCTGACAGTTCTGTGATTCTGTGATATTCTGCTATATGCAGGAACTCTTTACCATGTTGTAACAGAGGGTGCTGTTTTAGCTGCGCTTTCTGTACCAAAACCATGTTACTTTCATTTTGCAGGTGAATGTAAAAGCAAAGCAAAAAAACCTTTTAGGCTGCAAAATAGTGTGCTGCTTTCCTTTTGGGAGCAGTATGGCATTCCTGCCGGCTTCATGCACACTAGAATAAGCGCAGCTGATTCAGCTATAAGTTTTGCAAGCCCACAGGCATTCCTGGGATTACATATGCAGTTTTCCTGGTATCAGGTTAGTCACGTTGTAGAGCTCACTGCCAGAGCTCTGCCTTTCAGCAGAGGACTGTGAGATGAGGCCCTGAGCATCATCTTTCTACCTGGACAGCAAACAGCAAGTATACTTCTCTGCTCTGGCAGAGAAAGAAAGCAGGGCTCAGGCTTTTTTGCCAGAACAATAAAACATATTCCTGAAACCTTCCAATTTAACTCCAAATCCCTTTTGAGTAAAGGGAACAGAATGGTGTATTTTACATTTAGAGTTAACTACAAATTGTCTTTCAGTTTTATTTATTTTCTCTTTGTCAGGAAAAAAAAAAATAAAGCCCTAACCAAGCCCCAAGCATTATAAAACATCTTCTGAATGTAATTGAATCTAAGTTGGATTGAGCACACGGTCCTTCTCATTATCTGTTCCTGCTTTTGGTACTTAGTATGCTTGCTCCCCCCTGCCTCCTTTAATTGAAATTAGGTAATTGCTCCGAGGCTATAAATTCTTATCTTCATCACAGGAAGTCCTAGTTTGCATTAATTACCTTGAATTGCAGCAGTGAGGCAGCTGAGTTTTAACTGTCTTTAGGGTGAACTTGAGGTTGAACTGAACTTGTCTTCAGTGGTGTTTGTAATCCATATTAAAATATTCTCTTTTGCATTGTAAACATTTCATATGTTTAATTTTCATACGCTCAACAGAGCTCTTTGCACTCTGGTGCTCTTAATCTCTTTATATCCTTGCTACCATGTTATAAATTACTTGAATGAAACAAGATGTTGATTCTTACATGAAGTCTGTATCCACTTGAAAACACCAACTGTGCTGCATCTTTAAATGCTTCCATCCATTATAAAGAATAATGTTACATTCATCCTAATTGTTGTAATGCTTGGATTGATTATATTAAGTGGAGACAATAGTACTTTAAGTCTTTGCTCAGTAGATCTTTGAATATCTTTTTCAGGAAGCAAGAAGAAGGAAAAGGAAAGGCCAGAAATCTCCCCACCATCAGATTTTGAGCACACCATCCATGTTGGTTTTGATGCTGTTACTGGAGAGTTCACTGTAAGTATACCTGCCTTGGAGTTGCTCAGAAAACAGCTGTGAGTCAGGGCTTTAGTGAAGTCATTGTGATGTTTTACAATAAAGTCTTTGCTTTTATCAAAGAAATAATTTTACTGTGTATTTGTACAGCATGCAGAGTAAAGAGTCTGTGTTCTGTTAATACTTCTGCAGTGCAAATGTCGTATCTGATGAGTTGGGTAACCTGGGAGAGCCTTCCCTGAGAAACCCTTTTTAGCCCACTTTCATTAGTGGGTAACACTTGTTCTGTTGAGTGGTTTTGTGTTCCTGTTCCTCACATCTGGCTTCATACACCTGAAAGAGGTGTCATCGTGTTGACATAGTGTTTTGCGTTGTGTGACCTATGGACGTATGTGCTCCCCATTAAAACCCCATCCTACTTGTTAAGGTGTTTAAAGCTCAATGTGTTATGCTTTTTATAGAGGAAAACAATTGTTCTATTTCTGAAAAATCTTTAAAATGTTGGAAGTATGCTTCAAATAGCCTATTTTTTTTTCAGGGAATGCCAGAGCAATGGGCTCGGTTGCTTCAGACCTCAAATATCACAAAGCTAGAACAGAAGAAAAACCCCCAAGCGGTACTAGATGTGCTGAAATTCTATGACTCCAAAGACACAGCAAAACAGAAGTACCTGAGTTTTTCTGCTCCAGGTGAGATCCAAGTGTGTGTAAGACATATTGAAGAGGAGTACAGAGAATAATAAATCGAATTCAAACACTGAAAGAGCAAACTTTTCAATAGGAAAAAATACTTGAAGGCAGATTTAAAACTCACCGGAACTGGTTTTGTCCAGTTGTTTTCCTGGTTTGAATGGAGAAGGGAAGAAATGGAACTAGATAATGCAAAGTAGCAGCCAAAATTAACTTGAACAGGCTGTGTTTATAAAGCTATAATCTCTGAGGCTGAGATTAACTGATTTCATGCTGGCAATCTTGCTCCACCTGTCTATGGCGAAAACAGCTATCTGTGAACTTGATGTCGTGACATGTCGTGACATCAAAGAAGCAAAATAAGTTGTGGCTTCTAGGCCAAGAGCTATGGGGCGTGGGGAGGCTGAGTAAATGAGTGTCCTATGAACAGAGGCAGTTTTACCTAGTTTTCTTCCAAATTATTTCAGAAAATAGCTTAGTAATGAGGCTTTGTAATATTCTTACCCTTGATTCAAGAGACTGCTAAGGGAACAGAAACATCCCTTTGGTGGTGATTTCACATCTCAGTAAGACAGAACACAGTAAGTGTGACAAGCAGCTCTCAATTGGAGAACTGTGTGTGGGTACTCACGTGGGTGAAGAGCATGTTGGGAAATGAATGGGTTTCCCTGCTTTTAGGGGGAGTTTTAGAAATGTACATCTTCTTTCTGCATGGTCTTTAGTGCAGTGCTGGTGTCTGATTTGTGACCATAAAATTTTGCTTTTTGGAAGATGGAAAAAAAAAATCTCCAAAGCAGTCTGTATTCTGTACTCTTCACTTTTTAAATTCAAAGTTCACTTTGAATTTAAAGCTCACTTTTTAAATTACTATTCTGATGATTTTATATATTCTGCTGTTTGTCTTTTTAGAAAAAGATGGTTTCCCTTCAGGATCACCAACGGTGAGTGTCTTTACTATGCTTTGTAAATTCTTAAACATGTAAAAATTCAGGTCTTTTGTATTTGTTCCATAATGAATCTTGCAGTATAAACTAAAACTAGAATTTTGTGGAATAAAAACATAAATTGGGGGAATCAACAAAGCATATTTCACTGGAGCAATAGTATTTTAGCCTCATAATAAAAATATTTTCTTTTGACATCTGTAAGAATTCTTTTATATGAGGAGAAGAAGACCTGAATATAACACTGTGGGGGAGACAATTTTGTTTAGTTTGTTTTGGTTGGTTTTGTTTTGTTTTTTACTTTGGTAAAAATGTAGACCAATGCCAAAGGAGAACCATCAGCAGCTGTGGCAGATGATGATGAAGATGATGAAGAAGCTCCTCCTCCTGTTATTGCTCCACGGCCCGATCACACAAAATCGGTGAGCAGCTGTAAAGTTTATGGATCAGATCTGCATTTCTCAGTATTTTTACTTCTGTTTTCTAGCAAAGTATTACATTTGTGAAATGAGCTGTTGTAAGTTTTTTATTTGAGTTTGCTAAGGAAATGCCTAATTTCTGAATATCAGGTGGAACAGAAATCCTGACGGTAATTCCAGTTAGTTTGTTGGTTTGTGTTGAAGCTCTACAGTTATGTGTATCCTTCAATCCAACATGTGAGGAGGAGGCTTTTTTTACTCCTAAAAACTATAGCTAGTGTCTGTAACTTTGCATAGTACAGTGGGGCAATGTAGTCTACTGGATTTTCTTTATTTTATTTGCTCCAGCTCATTCTTTTGGCTGTGATTGGTGTACATTTTGCTGCTCTGCCCACTTATTCTTGCTCCAGGAGTGCAAATGTGAATTGTGTTTATTTGTCAAGTGATAGTGTCCCTGGGTTACATAGTTATCTAAACTATGACAGATATACAGTTTGATCTCGAGTAGCTGCATGTATGTGAACAGCTCAGGAGGAAGTGAAATGAAGCTCCAAGAAAATTCCCTAAACTGGGGACAACTGGAAAATTTCTGGGAGTCTCATGCTTCTTTTCATGGCAAAGCATGAATCTTTTTCCTTTAGGTCTTAGTAATTGATCTCACTATTAAATAGTGATTTCTGTTCTATAAACTAGCATGGGTAATAAAGAATAAGCAGGTAGAAAACCTGCAGAACGTCTGTTCCCTCATATCCACTCTGTTCAGGAGGTGCCTGGGGCTTTCTGTCAGAGGTTGCCAGCGTCTTGGTTTAATGGACTTTAATGTTTCTCAGGTCTAGTTTCTGCCTCCAACCTGCCATATAAAACAGTGCTTAGGGATCTTTGAAGAACTGTGATTGTTTTCAGCTGAAGGTCAATAATTGCAAGGAAAATGCTCAGGTAAATGGTCTCTCTTAACAGATCTATACACGGTCCGTAATTGACCCCATCCCTGCGCCAGCCGGTGACACTTCTGTTGACAGTGCGGCAAAATCAGGTGATAAGCAGAAAAAGAAGACCAAAATGTCAGATGAAGACATCATGGAAAAACTACGTAGGTGTTTTTTATTTCAGATAAACAAAGGCTTTAGGTCTGGGGGAGGAATATTAAGGTTTTGCCTTCATTTTTGTGTCAGGGTTACTGTGCTTAATTGGGTGCGTATCAGTGGCTGCAAGAGCTGCATTTGGAAGTTTTTCCAATTCATATGCTTCAGAGCCCTATTGGGTAAAAAAAAAAACACCCTGTAGAACAGTTGTTTTGGATTGAAGTTCAGTTGTGATAACGTGATCTGTGTGTATAATACAATCGTAATAACATAAAATAGTTTCTGTGGTTGCTTGTTCAGAATCATCTTGAAGATAATTTTGCACTATGTTAAAGTTCCTGTGCTTAAGTTGAGATTTGTCATAACCTCATACATGGTTTTGCTACACAGAAGATCATAATAAAATGGAGATACGAGAGGAAACAGTATGACCTGTCTCATGAAGAGTATAACATAACAAAATCATTGCCTGAAGCTGGGCTATTCACAGCTGGAACTGAATCAGGAAGCTTTGGCTGTTCATGCATAAGCCTATAATATTTGGGCTTGACCTATCTTGGAAGTATCTTGGAAGTATCAGTCCTAATAAAAGGGGATAGTGGGATTGACTTTTTTGGTCATTGTTGTTTGTTTGGTTTGGTTTTTTTTAGGCACTATTGTGAGCATAGGAGATCCCAAGAAAAAATACAACAGATATGAGAAAATCGGGCAGGGGTAAGTGTTCACCCCAGCTTTGGTTCCCTGGAGTCAGTGTTTGAAAGGGTGTTCTGTTCCCTGTTTGATACTGTCACGTAGCCACCACTTACTGAAGCAGGCAGAAATGGCTGTATTAAGCCATGCTAAACAGGCGCTGAAGGCTTTACACAGTGATGGAAGCTTTGCATTGTGTCTCTTAATGCAAAAGCATAGGTCTGCAACTTCTCTGTGGGTGTATCTAGTGTTCTCCTCTCCCAGTAAGGTGCATTCATCCAACTTTGTAATATGACTGCTGAATGGCGTAAGGGCATGTCATGGCTAAGTTACTCATCTAGTGGTCCTTTGAATCCTTCTGTTATAAAAAAAAAAAAATGTATATACATGTTCTAACTTTTTCAACTTCAATATGCCTAATTTCTACTGTATACTTTCCGAATAGATCTATATGTGTTTGTGGACGGGCTTCCCCTGGGGGAGAAGTAATATCTACTATAGAAAGGGCTACCCAGCTTATCTCAGTATAGGGAACAGCACAAGTTCTGGAGAGTCTTGGGTGACATGGTCTGGTGTGAGGCATCCTTTCCCATGGTAGAGGGGTTGGAACTTGATGATCTTAAGGTCCTTTCCAGCCCTAACTATTCTATGATTCTGTTGTTCTATGACTTTGTCTCCTATATTCAAGATGTCTAAGCTGGTGTCAGAAGAGAGTATATTTGTAATTGTTTTGTTTTGTGTGACCTGACTGGCATTTCTGTGATGCCACTTACTTTTAATAGCCTTCTTTTTTGATACAGCTCTTGCAGGATCGAGAGCTGACACAATTTTGTGTCTGTGATTTGTCTGTTCACGTGCGTGTTTGTTACACTTGCTTTAATGTTCTTCTTCACAGGGCTTCAGGTACAGTTTTCACAGCTATTGATGTGGCGACAGGGCAGGAGGTAAGATTTCTGTGTTCATTGCAATGAAATATAATGGATATAAATGCCCTTCTCTAGGTGGCTGAGATGATTTGATTGGGCTCCTTTCTGTGGTTGCCAGCTCTGCTGTCACCTCTCAGAATATGTGTTGCCCTAGTCATTTCTAACAGTGTGTGCCCTGGTCTATGGCAATAAGATGGTGAAAGCTAAAAATAGTTTTCTTTCTTTACAGTGAAAAGCAGAGGGTGTGAGGTCTTCCAAAAATGGGTCTTGAAAATAGTTTCAGGAGGTTTGAAAACCCTTCAAGAACTGGACAGTGATGCCCTGCATTTTCAGAAATATAACTTTGTTTATTCTTTGCCCACTTGTTCTTTACTCTTGTCTCAGGAAAGGTGATGGATGTGCCTCTGTTCAAACAGCTTGCCGCATGTGATTTTTCATTGTATTTAGAATGCCTTTTCCACACATCCTGTTCCTTGCTATTACTGTTTGGTGTCTCCAAACCCACTTGATGAAATTGATGGCTCCTGGGACTAAAATTTTAGGAATTGCCTGCTTCTCTTTAAATTCAGATTTCCTTAACTTATCCACAAGTAAATATTCCTCAGGTCACTGATAAGTAATTGCCCTTTCAACAGTAACCACATTTACCAGTGTGGTAGTGGAGCAGCACTTCTTGTTAAAATGCAAGCCTTTTGATCATCTCAGTATATTGTCTTTTAATATGCTTTTACATACTGCACTGCTTCATGTTGTTTTACTGACTGCAGAGCAAGTTTTGCAGTCCAGTGCCTTTCTTAAGCCTCCTCTGCATCTTGTCAGGCAGGTAGGCTATTGGGTTGATGGCAGTGTTTGTGCCTTAAACAGATGCAGTATGCTGCTTGCTCAGTGCTTGATGTCTGAGAATAGTCAGGTCTTTTCATTGGTAGGTAAGAAAAAAAACCCCCAAGGAGGATTTTATTGCCATTTTCAGCACCCTAATGGGAAGGTGTAGAGAATATGGAGCTAGACTCCTCTTAGAGCTACACAGTGACAAGTCAGATGTAACAGACATAAACTGACATAAGGGAAATTCTGGTTAGGTATTAGAAATATTTTTTTTCCATCATAGTGAGGATGATAAAACACAGGACAGAGGACCCAGAGAGGTTGTGGAATATCTGCTTATTGAGATCTCTGTTCAAAATCCAGTTACACAAGACCCTCAACAACCTGTTCCACGTTGGCTGTGCTTTAAGCAAGGGATTGGGCTGGATGACCTCCAGAGGCCCCCTCCAATCTTTATTATTTTGTGATTCTGTGCCACAAGTTCTCTTAATGCTCTTGGCCATGTGATAATGATTGTGTCTACAAGATTATATTGGTTCTTGTGTTTGGTTTTGGACTCATGGGTTGGTTAACTTGTAAAGCTTCGAACTGCTGACTGAAAGTGTTGTAGCTAACGTAGCTGGGACAGGTCTCCATTTTAAAGTCTGGAATACTTGTCCTGATTATCTTATTTCCTGAATAAGATAGGTCTTTATCTTTCCTTCTCTCTCTCTCTCTCTCTCTCTGGGATAGTTCATTGGCTTAACTGCTTTGAGAGGAATTCCTTCTGCCTCCCAGCATTCCTTATACCCAAACACTAATTTGAATAGAATATAGAAAAACTTTGCTTGCATTGGAAGGTTTATATTTCTTCTCTTAGTTGCTACATGATTCTCTTCTGCTTTAGGCTTGTTATATGCTCATCAGGTTGCATTCTTTTAAGTTGTATGCTAATAAATAAATCACTTACGAGCTGCAAGCTGTGCTCAACTCCTTTAATCCTGTTAAAGAATTTCTTCTAAATTTTCACTGTATTAAGAATTATCAAAATGTTTTGATACTCAGGTTTGAGTGATTGCTCTTACTTTTTTCCTGTTCAGGTTGCTATTAAACAGATAAACCTGCAGAAACAGCCTAAGAAGGAGTTGATTATTAATGAGATCTTGGTAATGAAAGAGCTGAAGAACCCCAACATTGTCAATTTCCTGGACAGGTAAATGCAGATAGCTGCTGATTCCTTCATCCCTCAGGGTTTCAAGGGGTTATAACATGACATACTTGCACAGACGTAGACTTCTTGTACCTAAGGGTCTTACAAGCAAATGAAATGGTATTTGCTGTCATCTGAAAAAAAAAGGGGGGGGGGGCAGGGAAGGGAGTAATCTGTTATAAGGAATGGTCTTCATTCAGTAGGAAGGCTTCTTCTGTCATGAATGCAATGCTGTATGTAGGTGAGAATCAGTGGTACACAAGAGCATAGCTGGAGGAGTGCTTCTGTTGTGCATGATTGTGTGTGAGACATGTAGGGTGTTATCCTCCCTGTTTAGGTAATAAGAAGCAGGCAGCTTTTATTGTCAGCAGGTACATTTCTGGCTACCTTCCAGAGATTAACTTTATTTACTCTTGTCTTTGGGCACTTATGTATCACTTTATTGACTGGCTCTTATCAGTCATTTTTCAGTTCTCGATCTCTTGATGGTGAACGGACATGCTTTTTGTTTTGTGTTTGTAGTTACCTCGTAGGAGATGAATTGTTTGTGGTGATGGAGTATCTGGCTGGAGGCTCGCTAACAGATGTGGTCACAGAAACTTGTATGGATGAAGCACAGATAGCTGCTGTTTGCAGAGAAGTGAGTATTATAGTTGATGGACAGAGGAACGAAGGTGCACTCTATTCCCCTAGGTTTTATAGTATAGATAGGTTAGGACTAATGGCAGCAATTGCTGTTGGAGCCATTGAATTATAACAAATGATACTGAGAGCAGAAATCAATATTAAAATTACAGAAAATAGCAGAATTAGTTTAACTCAGAAAATTGGGAGTTTACAAGTTGTAACACAAAAGCGCTATGGCAGTTTTTGAGCTAGGTTTTGGGAATGTTAAGTGATGGAGCAGATGAAGATTTTGGGTTTGGTACCTGGGTTACCTTGTCCTGACAATGTTAACAGAAACAGAACTGAAGTTCAAGGAAGAGCAGCAAACAAGTTTAGCAGCTGGAAGCAGTGTCTTTTTTAGCTTTGACTAGCAAAGAGTTCAGAAGCACCAAAAAGAGAACTGAGTATTCATATGTAGGTAGTGTAGAAGGTAAAGGTGTGAATATAATTTAAAAAAAAAACAACAAAAAAAAGAGGAAAAAAAAGAATTAAAGCTTTGGAGTGTTTTTCAGAAGGAAGAAGGTTAACTGCTTAGAACATGAAAGTAGATGTGATGAAACCAGGATACTTTAAGGAACATGTACTAAAATAAAGATGAACTTGATGCAGATTTTCCCTTTTCATTTTAGTACTTTTTGTAGTGCATGAAATCCATGGTCCTGTGACATGATTTCTCAGAAAAAGAATTCTCTAGAAGATTGTAGGTGAAATAATATGAAGATTGCATGAAGTTTTCAAGTGATATCAGCAATTTTTAACTCTTCCACAACTTATCAGTGGTTTCTGCCCTGAGTTAGAGTGCTGGCATCCAGATCAGGCTTCATTTTTTATGGCAGAAGTAGTTGTATTATCTGCTGTGCAGGAGAAACTTAGACTTTTAAAACTCCCATTTGACTACATCGCCATGATTTCTGCTTTTGATGACTCACCCAAAGGGAGGGGATGGAAAGCAAACTTGTACATTAACGTGTATGGACAGGTAATGATTTCCAGGGAAACCGCAGCTGGAAGCAGAGAACTGAAAGTAACTATTTACTGTAACAGTAATTCACTTTTCTGAAGAAAAAAATCTACTATTGTTGAACTATTGTACTATCAAAACTCTGCTGCTTAGCGTGTTAGATGTGCTTCATTCTGTAAATCAGTGCTATTGTGCTAAAGTGAATGAAGACATGGAAAACCCCACTGGGCACTGCATCCATGTCAAGTTGCAAATGGTAAATGTTCTGCTTATATTAAAAGAGAAAAATCTCACAATTACATTCTTTTCCTTTTATTCTCAAATAGCAAAAGTAAATTCCATTATGTTTTCAGGCAGAAACTGAGTGTGAACGGTTTTTATCTAAGAAAATGCAAACCCAATATTAGTGACTTGAATCATGAACATGTTTTACAGCCTTTACTGTAAGAGAATTTGAATGAATGTTGAGAAAGAAGTCTCACCAGTTCCTCCTGCTGAGACTTCAGGCTAAAAAGCACTCACATAATCCTTTATGATTCCTTTGTAGAATTCATAAAATGTGCCAAAATTAACATCTGGGATTTTTGAGACTCTCTTGGGTGATGATGAGTTTAATTTATGGGTTTGTGTTAAGCTATCCGAGAAACTCCATGTTTAAATGATTTTTGACTTCATGAGACCTGGAGGGTATTTTTTAGCACAAGAGCTTCCTCTACTGGTTATTTAAAATAACAACTGTTGTATTTTTGTACTCTGCACTGGCTAAGGGTATAAGCACTACTTTTGAATTCGTGTTCACATACACAAATTGTGTTTCCATTTTCTGAGTATCTTTTTTGGTTTGGTTTTGTTTTTCTTTTTCTCTCATCCAGTGCTTGCAAGCACTTGAGTTCCTACATGCCAACCAGGTCATCCACAGAGACATTAAGAGTGACAACGTGCTGTTAGGAATGGATGGATCTGTTAAACTAAGTGAGTACCAGAAAATGGAAAAAAAGTGTCTGTTTTCCCTTTCCCGGTAAACTTGGACTTACAGAGTATAAATTGGTAGGAGAGCTGGCAGGGAAATCTGAGGTGAATTTTTATTGACTATGAGCAATAGAAATTCATTCAGTGCTATAAAATGTGTATCTCCCAAATAGCAGGTATTGAAATTCTGAGGGCTCTGACACTAAGGCTGTGAACATATTTGACCGGAAGGATGTTGAAGCAAACTTGTTGCCACATGAATATGTTGGTAAATGTGAAGTAACTGGCACCGTACAGTGAAGCAAAGATATGAATGATTGCAAGAGAAAAGTTGCAGCCAACTTTTGTTAGTCTCTTCAGGTTGTAATGACTCGCTTTTAATGTTTTGCCCTTTTCATTAGAAGGTCACTAACAAGAAAATTGTACATTATTAACCATTTGTGTTGCAGTCTAGTCTTAATGCTCTGCCAGTTCTGGGTCTCCTTTTCTTGGACTGAAAGTGTAACACACTTTCATTAATATAATCACGAAATGACAAAAGAAACTGCTTGCTTTTCAGGTAATTGTTATGCATGCATGGACTTGTATACAGTGAGTCAATTTCTGGTATGTGTAAACGTGTGTGTGGCAATAAAAAAATGTGAAACCACTTGAAGAAGCTGTCAGGATTGTTGAGAGAGAGGTACATTATCTTATTTCTTCGTATGTAGGAATGTGCAAAGCATGAAGTGACCAAAGAGTTAAGGGATGGTGTTTTTACAGTTGGGTAGGCATTTGAAATGCCATGAAAATGTATCTCAGTAATATTCCTTAATCTAGTTTGTTTGCAGGCTCATATTGTTTATGAGATGGAGTGTGAGGAAAGATTTGGAGCAACTTGGTTTGTTTACCAGCGTTGTTGGATGCGCTGCTCACCTGCATAGGTTTTATGTTTTTTAAGGGTGTGATGTACCTGTGCATAAGCTGTGTAGATTCAGAAGCTCAAGTGAATAGTTACGATAGAGGATGTAGCTGAGAAGAGTTAGCTGGAGAAGGCTCAAAAATGTAAGAGCTATAAAGTCAAAGCAGAGTGGCAAAAGGACAAGGTTAGCAGCTTATGTAAAGAAGCATCAGCTCCAGGAGACTGGGAGAAGATGAAGAGGAAGGAGAGACAGGAGAAAACCGTAGTCAGCTGTAAAAATGTCCTGTATGAAGGGGAGGTACTGTAATCACTGTTGAGACTAGCTCTTCTTTGGTTGTGTGATTGTATTGCTTCTAGCAGTTGTTTAGGGTGGAGAGTGGAAGAAGTTGCACCTTCTTTTCAAGCTCTTCCTACTCTCTGGGAGAGCCTGGCTTCCAAGAGACTAGAAGAAAGAGGCACCAGGCTGCCTGTCACTAGTGCATACCTACACACGCTGCTGGTTGGTGAAACTGTGTTCTGCATCTTGCCTGTCTTTGCTGGTGACATCGTGCTGAAGGCCTGGTTGGTAGGTCAGGAGATGTATACTGCTGTTGCTTCTCTGGTGTGTTCATTGAAATAAGCTGTGCATTGTGTGGAGTATGATGCCTGGAGAAAGGCCAAGATGGAACTCGTCGACTCCTATAGGTTTGATTTATATGTTTCTGTTTTATTTGAGGCAGCATTTTGACAATCAGGGTGGGGGTAGTTCTTTGTTAAATTGTCCTCTTGGTACAACTTAGCACTCTCTTGACCGTGGCTCTTTTGTTAGCACTGCTTGGCATAACACTTTCAAAATCTTAAATTCTCTCTCTCTCTTTTTCTCTCTCTCTCAAACTTAGTGTCAATGATAAGGTAATATCTGTCTCCTGCCTTAACTGTGTTCTTATTGATGCTTTACATGCCTGGGAAGTGGGAGTGCTGCAGCTGGATAAAGTAACATGATGGAACATGCATTGCTGCTGCACCTGAAGGCTATAGGAATAGGTGACTTTTCTTGTTTTCTTGAGTGTGGTTGTTCTCTTTGGTAGTTAACCATGTGAAAAGGTTTGTTTGTCCAGGTTCCTTCTGCTGAGTGGGCTAGCACTTCACTTATCTGAAGCCTTGTTTCTATGTCTCTGTCAGCTGTAGTACCTGTATTTGGTGGCCTATTGTGTGAAATGTTGAACTCAATAGCTGCACAAATAAAATCTGTTTAGCAGGGCAGAAGCCATGGTTTGTGGATTTGTTTTTTTTTCTAGTTCAGGCTGTATAACATACCATGTGCAGAACACTTGCCTTCTGAGATCTGCTTGATTACTTTTTCTGGCTATTGCCAGTCTAAGATCCTTGAATGAAGGACTGGGCAAAATACTGTTCTTCTGCAGAGTAATACTTCTGTGCCTGCTCCAGAGAACAAAAAGCTTTATCTTCATTCCATGGAATTCTACCCTGCTTAAACACCTTCAGGTTTTGTATCTATCTTGTATGACAGATTGTGTAACACGGAGAATGTAGTGGGGAGACACCCCCCAAACCCTGCTCAAGTGTAGAGGAGTAAAATGTATGTGTAGTATTAGGGAAGTCTTCTAGGCAGCCACTTATTCGGGGTGCACCAATTTAACTTTTACAATTCTGTTACCTTACAGCCGACTTCGGTTTCTGTGCTCAGATCACCCCAGAGCAGAGCAAGCGGAGCACTATGGTTGGAACTCCTTACTGGATGGCTCCTGAAGTGGTCACACGGAAAGCATATGGCCCTAAAGTGGACATCTGGTCTCTGGGCATCATGGCTATTGAGATGGTAGAAGGAGAACCCCCATACCTCAACGAAAACCCCCTGAGGGTAAGAAGCCTGGATGTTCCTGTAACTGTTTGCAGGTGTTTACCATATGAATGGTTTCAGTAATTGTTCAGTAATAGTATCTACATTAAAAAGAAAATGAATTGAATAAAACAAGCTTCAGCAGGGCTAGAAAACTCCTCCACAAGGAAGATGGCTGTCTTGAATTTGCAGTGTGAATTTGTCTGTTTAGAAGATGAGGACCTGCTTGTAACTTAAACACTGGTCTTTGAACTCAATCTTCTGTGATAGTTTAGGGAAAATAAATCCATTAGGTTATGAAAAATGCTGCTTGTGTCAGAATCTAATGTCTTCTTTGCAAAGGTAAGTATCTGTTGCCAAAAGATATGGAACATTATTATGCTACTAGCAAGAACAGGTGATGACTTGGTGTCATGTATAACCAAGCCAAATCTTTACAATATTCCTCATTTTACAGGCTTTATATTTGATAGCAACAAATGGCACGCCAGAGCTGCAGAATCCTGAGAAACTGTCACCAATATTCCGGGATTTCTTGAACCGATGTTTGGAGATGGATGTCGAGAGAAGAGGATCAGCCAAAGAATTGCTACAGGTGAGGGTCAGCTTCTTCTCACAGTCTTAGAAACAGAAACCACAAGTAAGGTCATCCTGTGATAAACCACTCTGTAGACTGGTGCCCTCCTTTTTTGTGCCTTCCTCTGAGTACTCTGATGGATAGTAGTTGGTAGGAGCTACAGTCATGAAAGATTGTACTGTGTACTTTGAAGTCTTTGAAGTCTTTCCATCAATAATGTCTTCATTCTTCCACTACTAAAGCATCCAGCAATTTATGAACTTGCTGTAATAGAGCCATTGAAGTGAGCAGAATGGGACTAAGAGATGTTTTGGTCAGGAAACCTCTTTGTAGTGAATTACTGGAAAAGGAAAAGCCTAGGTTCTTTTGGGAATCATAGTATGGTTAGGGTTGGAAGGGGCCTTAAAAGCTCATCTAATTCCAACCCCCCTGTCAGGGCAGGGACACCTTCCACTAGATCAGGTTGCTCCAAGCACCATCCAGCCTGGCCTTGAACACTGCCAGGGATGGGGCAGCCACAGCTTCTCTGGGCAGCCTTTGCCAGCGGCTCAGCAATCTCGGGGAAGATTTTTTTTTCCTAATACCTAATGTAAATCTCCCCTCTGTCAGTTTAAAGCCATTCCCCCTTGTCCTGTCGCTACCCGGCCTTGTAAAAAGCCCCTCTCCAGGCTTGAGGAGCTCTGAATTTGTCCCTTCAAGAGCTGGGCATTGGCAGCATTTGCATTGCTTTTCATATCTCGGAATGAAAAGGGCTGTGTAGATACATGGCTTTTACTGGCGTTTTAAACCATGTCTTTCAGTAGTTCACTGTGTTTCTCTGTTCCTGGCAGCATCCCTTCTTGAAACTGGCCAAACCTCTGTCTAGCTTGACGCCATTGATCCTGGCAGCCAAAGAAGCAATGAAGAGTAACCGCTAACATTACTGCCACAGCCTTCATCCTTTTTTCGTTTGTATTTTACAAATCTTTATAATATATGAAATTTTTACACTTCTGGGGGAGGGAAGGGATTGGAGGGGTGGGACACGGGACAACACACGTCTGTGAAAGGGAAGAAACTCTCATCCAGAGGATGCCCAAAATAAATTATGGTGACTCCAGCGATCCCTGTCTGGGGTCCAGAAGGAATTGAGGACTGAATTACTGGCCTTTTTTTTTTCCTTTTATTATTTCCCTCCAGAAACCTTAGAAATGCCACTTAATGTGCCCAAGGTTTTAAGGGTTGTTAACGACTTTGCTGTAACAGCTCCCATTCATTGTACCCCCTTGTCTGGGTACTTTCAATACTTGAATGACAGATTCAAGCTTTCAGAGAGCAGTAGTAATTTTACCTGCTGATCTCTTTCACACTTCTCTTCCTCCCCTCTACCTGTTTATTTTTAAATCACTCTAGTAAAGCTCCCATATGACAAGATGCACAGTGAGTGTGACAAATGTGAATGTGCGTCTTGCCTGTCATTTCATTTATGGATTAGTTGTCAGAGTACTGTAGGATTGGCAGTTCGGCTACTTAAAACATGGTAATGTATTGAAACATTTTTCACTTCTAAGATAAATATGGAGAGAGGAGGAAGACAAGTATTCATCTGTTTCTTATGTGCCTGTGCTCTGTGGACTTTTAATCAAAGATGTGGCCTCTTTGTAGAAACTTAATGATTGGTCAAGTCTTTGGATGTCGGTTTATGGATATGTAGTTAGGGGTCAGATACTTTATTTATGATCAAATGATCAGCTATAGTCAGGGCAAGAAAAAAAATTCCAGCTGTCTTCCTGTCTGCTCTTTTTTTACCCCATTAGAATTGTTGGCCAGAAGCTTAAGGGATAATGTGCTTAGTGCGGTGGATGGTTCAAAAATGTATTGTATCTGTGCTCTGACTTGGGCTTTGGAAGTTATGCTGGTGCCTTTGACTTTTTTATTTTACATTTCTTTTCTTTGTATCAAATACATTTATGTATATGTTGTATTTCTCCCCCCAAGCAAATAATCCATCAACCTATGGAGTTGTCAGAGTTTAAGTATTAGAGCTATTTTCCCCAGTTTCTTATGTGCTCCATTTGTACTAATGAAATCAGAAGAACAAGTAATCAGATCTGAGGACACTGAAGATACAGGATTTTTAAATAGGATTCAAATGGAAGATTATGAACACCTGGAGTTGCCAAAGTGCTGTTCCGAGAAGATGAAAGCTGCTAGGGGAGAACAGTGCTGTCAGATGTTCATGGGGCTTATTTGACCAGCTAGTTCGAGGCTGAGGAGACGTGATGTGTCACACTGACCCTTTCTCACCTAAAGACATTATACCAGCTAGAATGGCTGAAGTCAAACATTCAATGCAAGAAAAAGTGCCTCACTCTGAAGGACAGTGAGTGACTTGAGCAGTTGAATTCTTGAGGTTACCAGGGTCAAGTGTAGAAGAGCCTGTGCCTGTGGCTGCTTCCAGCACTACAGTCTGTGTATTTCAACTTCTCCAACAGTTTAACGAAGAGCTAACTGTAGTAACAAAGTGCCAAATGATTCTGTGAAATAACAACCATTATTTTAGTGGGGTTTTATTGCATTCCCAGTAGGGCAGGACCTGGGACAGGTAAGGTTACAGCTGCGTATGGGTGGAGGACCCTGAATAAGAATTATTTGCACACTTTTACAAATGTTGCTGGCAGAAGATAGAGGTCATTTCAGATAATTTCAGTATTTGTATAGTAATAGAGAGAACTCTGTTTTGGGAACTGGTAGCCAAGGTATGACAGAACCACCTTCCAGCTGAGAGCAGTTGGAGGCTGTTTGTGTTGATGATGGAGGGGAAGCAGGGCATTGGTGTGGTACCAACAAGATGCCTTTGTTATGCAGGGCACTGCAGTGTCACAGTTCAGCGTGTGTTCTGCTCAGGCATGGTAGTAAACTTCTAAGTTGGGTAAGTTATGTTACTTGTTCCATCACAGGAATTAATCCCTCTAGCTATAAGCCTAAGAAGAGAGTTCTGGTTTTAAACTCAAGTGTCTTATTCCAGGCAAGGAAATCTAGATGCATTTCCCAGGCAAAATGTATTGTGAGCCATAGACACTGTGAACACTGTAGTGGCAATGCCCCTGGTTTGAGTATGTCTGGCTCCCTGATCAAATGAAGTAGTGAGGAGGCTTGGCTGAGAGAAAAAACCCTGTCATACCAATGATTCCCCCTTTGTCCATTGCTGGCAATGGACTTTGTGAAACTCCTTGTGCCAGAGTTAAACTGGGAACTTTTCTTTCTTCTTTCTTTTTTCCTTTTTACTTTTGATGGCACAATCTAGACAGTAAAATAACTTGTGGTAAATTTAGGGTTTGTTGTTTGTTGTTTTTTTTTATAAAATAGAAATAAAAAAATCCTAAGTAATTTTACCTTATTAGTTCACTTCTATTGCTGAATGAGAATGGTTTAAAACGTTACAAAACTTGTCCAATTTAGTCTACTTAGGAGATGATTTCCAAACTTTCAGCCGTCTTGGCACCCAAAACTTGGCCCAGTCCAGCACTTGCTGTGTGACCTGCAGAGGTGTTAAGCTCTGAGGTTGAGAAGTGTCCCCATCTCTCCTTCCCCATGCAGCAGCTTTATCGTTACGTGGTAAGGTTTCTTACCCCTATGCTGCCAGAAATCAGGGTCAGAGACGGAGCTGGCAGGAGAGGAGAGCCACAAGAAGGTTGTGCTTTTGTGTCTTAGTGGATTGGGCATTGCTTTTCTAAGGATGTCAGCTGGATGTGTCTGCAAGACTGGAAAAATGCAAACTGTGAGGTTTTTGCCCTGGTGGGAGCAGATTTATGTCCCTAAGACTTGGCTGCTGTTCAATTCTGCTGTATCACTAGGGCAGACAGGTAGAGACCAGGCAGAGTTTGAGTAGATGATGATAAGGGAAGGATTGCATCTGAATGCAGTCTGGGATTTCCTGTACATCTCACTATCATGTGCCCATGTAAGATCCTGATTCAGAATCGGATACGCATGTGATACATATGAAGTGTAATATACAGTGGGGTGGCTAGTTGGGTAGATGGAGCTGGGCAGCTAGTGGCTGAGATGCACATATACAGGCAATGTGTGACTCCTGAGGTTTTCTTGTTACCATGGAATAAACTGTGCTTCTTCTTAAAAGCAGCCATGGCGCTGGGAATGTGCACTTTGACCTGCCTTAGGTGTTAATGAGACTAATTGTAGGCTTTCCCCTGGCTGTCCGGTGCAGGGAAGTGCAAAGGGGTGGTTAGAGCAGATGGGGGGAGCCTGGGTCCCTTTGTCAGAGGGGATAGTGGGTGGGCTGGGGAGGGCGCAAGAAGGTTGTTAAAGGTCTCTCCAGCTAGAGTTGAATAAAATAAATGTCTCTGGTCTGTTTTTCCCTTTGTTCTTCATGCTGTCAATGGAAATGGAAGTAGGTGCAAGCTTTGTTTTTATTTTTTTAACTGTCTTCAGATTTTAATGTTGCCTTTTATGTAATTTAATCCCATTATGTTATTTAATTGTTACTGCAATATTAACTACTGTATTTGTTGACTTTGTTTAATAACTGTTCTTTCAGGGCTAGAAATAAACTTTTAAAAAACATTTGGGTCTTCCCCATCATGAGTTTATACCTTCTAAGACAAAGAGTACATGTTTAGATGTCTTAATGAGATTGACAGAATGTATTTGTAATTAAACTTCTTATGAATGCTTTAATGATGATGGATATAAGTTTATGCTATACTAGTCTGCCCTGTTTCTTTTAAAACTATTACTTGTCAGAGTCTGTACCAACCTTGGGATAACTGCAAGCTCTCCTTGCTGCCACTGCTGGTGGAATGTTATGCTTCCCACAAAGCATTCCAGGTTGCTGGTGGAAGGACAGCAGCTCTGAAACACCCTTTTCACCCACTGTGGAAAGAGATCCCTTGCCCTGCTTGCAAAGGGAGCAATGCAAAGGCTAGCCTATTTTGCCACAGTCGCATCTCCACCATTCATTTGCTTTAAGGTAGCCTTTTGGTAGTGACTGGGGTGGGACTCATGGGCCAGTCACAACCATGATTGTGGCAATATGGTGATACTGGGGAATTAATCTGAGCAAGACTGCTTTAGTGCATCATAAATGTCATCCATTATCCTGTGTATAAACATTACAGCACAGGAAACATGGGGACTGAGCTGTCCTGGTGCCTGCTTGGAAGACATGGCTCCTGGGTCTGCACTGTCACTGCTGATCAGCATTTGAGCCATGGAGCCTAATGGGGTGAGGATACTGGGTGTCGACAGCTCACCTAGGACTCAGGAGGAGAGCAGTGGTGCCTGTTTAGGCTGTGGAGGGTTGCTTCTGTTTTCCACTAAAACAAGAAGAGTGCTGTGGTGTGTTGGTATGGCAGTCTAGCTAAAGAAAAGGACGTCTAAAGGCATTTACTTTGGGGTTGAGAATATTAAGGACTCATCATGTTGTGTGTTTCCTGTGTGCTATTGGGAAATTGTCTCTTCCCCTTTCTTGCATGTTGTACAAGCTTTGCTCATACCACTGACAAAGGGAAATGAAGAAACCACTCATCTTCAGAAGCCTTTTCAACCAGACATGAGAATGTTTTGCACAAAGTGCTGTCTCTTCAGGTTAATTTGTTGTAAGATCTTTGTCTTTATATATAATTGATGCATTTAAACTGATGTTCTCTTAACACTGCATTTAAGTGATTTTGCATTTAATTTGTGGGGGGAAATGTTGACAAGAGGAGGAAGAAGGTGCCTTAGGTGGAACTCACTGATTATCTGTGTGTTCATCCTTGTGCTGCTTGAAGGAGAGCAGTGTTTTGGCTCAGTGTGGTTTACACAAGTTAAAAGTTGCTAGTCTTTGCTTGATAAATTGTGTTAAATCTTGTGTCAGCTTGCTTATCCCTTGCATATAGCTGGCCTAGACTAAAACCAAGAGCAGCCCCAACTTTTTTGATCCATTTATTGAAGATGGGTATTTAAAGCATTGTTCTTTAAGATAGTGAAGATGGGGGGCAATGATTTCTCCCTTTCAGGGCTATTTGGTTGCAGTGAGTTGAACTCAATTATTTGGACTGTGCCAGCAACACTGGTTAAAACCAGGATGGCTGAAAACTGAGGATCTTCGTTTCTAATTCGTGTTTTCACAGCAGTGCCTTGGGGAGAGTGGTTGTGTTTCAGCGCAAGTCTTGTGGCTCACATGTGAGCACAGCAGTTGCCTGCAAATGCCTGCTCCCGGGTACTTGTACAGCTGCATTTTCCCTATTTTTATAACTTGCATTTTGCTCTGAAGATTTTTTTTTTCCATAAAAACAGCCATCCTGAGTGATGTGAGAAAGATAAGTGCAATTGTGCTGAGCTCAGCTCCATTCTTGATGCTGCTTTCCAGATGTGTGGAGGAAGCAGGTTTTTCCAAGGGATTTTTCCCCCTACTTTGAACTCCAGCCAAAGGAAGGATTTTCTTTTTTCTCTTGAGGCAGCAGAGATGCCGAGAAATGAGAACAATGAATCTGACTGTAATTTCTCTACCTGTGCTCTGTTACAAGCGAGGAGGGCAGTGCTGGTGCAGCTTCTCGTGCTGGTGCAGCTTCTCATGCTGGTGTTCCCTTAGTTCAATGGTGATACTGCTTTTTCCTATTCCTGCCCACCAGTGAGCAGGGGGGAGTATCTTCCAGCACATTGTAACTTCATTTCAAATCCCATTTACTTATTGATCTGATTATTGGAACAGCATTTAGGGAGTGATTGTTGTTATTATTTTGTTTATTTTTGGTTTTAGTGGGATTTGCCCACTGGGAAGTTAACGATTCCTCATTCTCTTTTGGACACTAAAAGGCCACCAGATTTCTGCTTTGGAGAAGATGTATTAGGTCAGAAGCAAGGAGGATGGGACTGGAACAGCAGGCAGTATGTCTTAATGCACAGTTGTGTCTCAGTGCACGGATGTTTCTGAATGTGCAGATTCCAGTTTCTGGTGTTTCTTGATGGATTTGTGATAACGAATCTGGCTTGGTTTAAATGTGGATCAACATAGAAGGTGCTGATGTGATTCCAGGCATCTCCACAGAATGTTCTTGAGGGGGAACAGCTACGTGCTTTTTATTCCCCATACCAGGTTCATGGGTGACCTTCCCAGGATCAGATGTGTCCCTTGGAGTCAAGGTGTCTATAGCCAAGGATGATGATTCTTTATTGCCTCCCAGTGCATGTTTGTTCCATGGATTCAGTTTTTTTCATGAAGCACAATTAACTTGTGCTTCTCCTTGAGCCATTTTCATCCAGCTGCCTGTGGGAGGAAACCTGCTGGTGGGTTTCCACAGCAGCTGATAACAGGTGGCTGCTTTTGGAAAGCTCTCATCCACTCCCCTGCACAGTAAAACCCTCCTTAAATAACCGTACAGCTCTATTCAGCTGTGGCTGTTACCTCACTGTGGCTGAAAACTGGTGTGAGGAAGCCAGGGTGGTTCTGTTCAGCTTTTGTTACCCTCCAGTGTTTCTGGAGAGTGTTTACAGACCTGTGGAAATGCCAGCTTGTTCCTACCCCTTTAAAATACTTGCATTTTAAGCTGTTGTAGTTCTTGACAGCCCTGAAAGCAAAGTTTGGTTCAGAAAAGGCACTGATGTCCCAGCCATGGAACGGTGGTTTTCAGTGGCAGTATATCTGAGTTTTTAGACAGTCTTGTTTCTGGAAGAGCAGCTGTGCAAAGCTACATGGACTCTTGAAGGGGTTTTGCCTTTGCAGTGCTCCACAGCAGAGCTTGCAGCATTCCCCCTTGTGCTGTCAGTACTGAAGCGAGACAGGAAATGAGCTGCTTGATTATTTAATTGATATTATTTAATCCCATAAAATTACCCTCATAAGCAACAGCTTCCAGCTCCTCTCTGCAGCCTGGGATAAGTGTCCCACAATGGCAGGATGTGCCGTGGGCAGAATTACAGGCAATGGACGGGAAATAGTTTTTTGAAGACCTCTGAACATTTACTTCCTGAGGTCCATCTCTTAGAATGCTTGAAAAGGAGAAGGGAAAAAAAAAACTGTTCTGTGGGAAGGAAGAGATGTTGGGCTTTTTCTGTTTTCCCCAGTTTTACCATGGATGCCACAATGTTTTCCGTGTCACAGCTGTATTTGGAGGAAGGGGATGAGAACGTACTTTTCATCATAAAACTAGGTGATCTTTAAGGTCCCTTCCATCCCAAACTATTCTATGGTTCTGCATGCTTCAGTCCCATGTCTTCTGACAGCTTATTCTATAAATGGCTAGGTGTTGGAAATAAAACAGCACTAATAGAAGCTGTTGTCCCCTTGCCTGTGATGGGGCAGTGAGAGGGGCCTGTGTAATCTGCCGGCACTGCTGGTGACCAAGAAGATACTTACTGAATGGTTTATGCTCTGTTAACCGGGAGTTCCTGATAACATGACATTTCCTATACCATCCCGCCCTTCCTGGGACACTTGTGGCTGATCCAGCTGTGGGTGAGTCCCCCAGCTCCCTGTGGTAGCAGGCACTGCCCTGGGCAGCATGTGCAGTGCTTCCCAAGCCTGTCAGGCTGCGCCACGTTCGCTTACATGCGGCTTTATAAAGAGGAGGTGCAGAAGCTTTCCCTGGGGGTTTGGTCTGGGGTTTGGTCCAGTCTTTTCCCCCAGAACAGCCTTTGCTATGGCTGGCCTGAATGTCTCCATTGCTTTCTTTTTCCTGGTGGTTGGGGTGTGCCAGGTGCTCAGGCAGCTTTCCAAGAGGCTTCTTTCTCCTGGAGCATATGGCTGCCTTGCCAGAGAACTTGCTGGCTCGTTACAGCTGTGCATGAGCTTCCTTGAGCTGAGGATGCTGGTGGAGATCGGCCCATGGGGTGGTGGCTTTGGTCCAGACGTGGTCCTTACGCTGCTCTTCCTCCTCTTCGCTGTTCATGGTGCCTCTTTTGATGGAGCATCTGCCAACCCGACTGTCTCTCTTCAGGAGTTCCTTCTCCTTGAGTCCAGCCTAGCAGCAACTGCTACCAAGCTGCTGGCCCAGGGTGCAGGCATGGGCATGGGCTGGGCTGTCACCAAGCTCTACTGGTCCTGGGAGCTGACGCAGTTCCACCTCATCCAGAACCTGATAGCGCCAGAGTGCAACTCCTCCATCCACACCGCTCTGCACCACGCTGCCTTTGTGGAAGGAAGCTGCTCTTTCCTTTTCCACCTTGTCCTTTTCAAGCTGCGACAGAGTCACCCAGTGTACCAGGTCCCTGCACTGGCAGCAACTGTCACCTTCTTGAGCTACACAGGTAAGCAGCACTTGGCTTTCTAAGTCACTTACAGATATACCTAATTTGCCAGGGAGGAGCAGTTCCTTTTTCATCTTCAGGTGAAATTGTTACCTCTCGAGAGGTAACAATTATCAAGATGTTTGTTTTCTACTTATTTTGCAGAATATCCATTAGGCAGCAGGTGAAACGCTAGCATATGAGAAACCATAGCTTGTCCCAAGACTGGGACTGCTTTCCTCAAATGATCCTGCACTGAGCTCTTCCCACAAAGCTCTGGGTGACAAGGGTGGGATTTCTCCATCTGCTGCTATTATATGGTACAAGAGATGCAGCTACTGGCAGGCAGGAGAGGTTGTGGGTCTTCTGGCCCAGCTTTGCATCAGTCTTTCAAAGCATGCAATTGAGACTGCTGGCCATGCTTCTCTTCCTGTGCAGCTGGACCGTACACAGGGGCCTTCTTCAACCCTGCCCTGGCCACCGCCGCCACCTTTCACTGCTCTGGGAGCAGCTTTTGGGACTACATCTGGGTGTACTGGCTGGGGCCCCTCACAGGTGAGATCTGCCAGGGAGTTCCAAGGGGCAGGGATGGGGATCAAGGTGCAAGGCAGAAATGCTGGTCATAACACAAGCTGTTCCTGGCAAAGCACTGAACTTGGGTCTTGCCATTTGTAAGTGTCCTCCTCTGTCCTTCCCTGTCACTTGAATCATCTCTTTGCTATCCATTTTGTAAGTTTCTACCTGGGAGACAGGAAGACTCTCCCCAAAGCCAAAGTTTGGGAGAGATGAAGCAAGGATATTTTAGGGCAACAATAGGCTGAGCTATGCTGTAGTGGTTGTCCATAGCTTTCCAGATGATCGCAGGGAGCTGGGTAAGTGTTGCTTTAAATGTAGATAGCTGAGACAGAAGAGTGCTGGCGTGGTTTATGGCTCTATCTTTGGGTCAAAACAAGCCTTGCTTGTTACATTAAGGATACAGTGGTTAAATTCTTCAAGTAATTTAGCAAGGGTTTCTCAGACGTCAGTGGGGACTCCAGTGGTGCTGGGCTATGTTTTGGTCATGATGAAGGTTGTGGGGAAGGACCTGAAAATCACTGCTGAGCCCTGGGGAGGAGGGTGGAGGTGCTTGGTGCAGCACACAGAAGATGTCCATGCTCTTGTTTCAGGGATGCTCACTGCCCTCCTGCTATTCCAAGGCAACATCCCACGACTCTTCCAGAAAAACCTCCTTTACAGACAGAAGAGCAAATACAAGATACCCAAGGCAAAGGTGGTGGTGCATGTGGAGGGTGACAAACCGCAGAGGAAGAGTAAAGGGGAGAAGAGCAACTCCAAGCCCTGTGCCTGAGCCATGCATGGGGGCCCAAGAGGTCCCTGCAGCCCCTCTCCTGGGAGTGGGTTTCTCCTCCCACCCATCATCCATCCTGCCCGTTCATTCCCTACCTCAGGGTGAAATACTTTGGAAGAATCACAAAGGAATCAGCCAGACTGGGCTTGCAGGACATCAGAATCCCTGAGCTCCTTTGAGAATAACTTGAGAGTCTCCCTGGAGAGCCCAGAATGTTTCAAGCCTGCATGACTAGCTTGGTGGGGGAAAAAACCCAATACTTTTGCATAAATTGCTGGTCGTCTTGTATTGCCAGGAAGCTTACAGAAAGTCAGGACCATCCCGTGGGTAGGCTTGAGCAACTCCTGAGTTATTGCATTGTGAAGTGCTCGAAATAACCCAACTTACAGCCATAAAAACACAAGCGTAAGCCAGTAACTGCCTTGGAAACTTAGGATGAGGAAGAACCGGGCTTGATCTTTCAAGTTACTGAATGTGGATACTGGTCAAAAATGGGTGTTCTTTGAGTTAAACTGAGATCATTGGATTGAACAGGCTGAATCTGGCAGTTCTTAGGAATTTAAACTGCTTCAGGACAAGTGAGTTCACTGGCCAGAGGAGACCCCTCTCCCCTGTGGACATGGTGCTTAGCCTGAGATTCATGTGCTGTAAAGCATCAAGATACAGTGCAGGAAGTGTGTGTGGTTAAAAATGAGACCTGGGCAGCCAGTACGCACTGGTGTGGGTGAACAAATGTGTCCCCGGCTCCTTTCTGTGTCCACATGGAGTATTCTTGAAGGTGAAATTACAGTTCATGGAAATTGCAATGAAAATAAATGTGATTGGCATTTGGGTGAGTGATGTCGCTGCTCCGAGCAATGTGGGGGGTGGTCAACACATCTGATACCATCTGAGACACTGCTGAGAATCCCAGAATCCCAGACTGGTTTGGGTTGAAGGGACCTTAAAGCTCATCCAGTTCCAACCCTTTGCCACAGGCAGGGACACCTTCCACTAGAGCAGGGTGCTCCAAGACCTGTCCAACCTGACCTTGAACACTCTCAGGGATGGGGCAGCCACAGCTTCTCTGGGCGCCCTGTGCGAGTGCCTCAGCACCCTCACAGGGAAGAGCTTCTACCTTATATCTAACCTAAATATGGGTTTCTCTCCACAGGCAAGAGCTGGTCAAAAATGACCATCTCATGCATTTTGCAGAAAGCAGTCAGTTTTGCAGGATCTCTCTGGGCAGAAAGTTCCTGAGCTTGAATGTATTCTGGGTGCATCATGGCTCTTTTGGGCAGTCTGTGGTTTTCATGGGAGTGTGCATGCGATGCTCTTGGTTGTACAAGTGCCCTGCCATGGGTCACCTTAGCAGGCACTCAAGCAGGGATGATCTGCTTCTGTTTACTGAGGTGCAAGCAGTGAATAGCAAAGTGGCACCTGGTTAAAAACCAGAGAAGGTGTCAGATGCAGGTTTGATACCGGGTGTCAGTTCTGCTCTTCCCTGCAGCCCTGCTTATGTCCTCTGTGGGGTTTGGGGGGGACAGACTGGCTATGCTGACTGTAGGCTGCTCATCTCCCTTGCCTGTGTGTGGGATTGCCCTCTGGGGTGAACTGCAGACTGCCAAGGAACCCAAAGGGGGAGCTGGGCCTCTGCAAGCCACGAGACCATACCATGTCCCAGCAGGAGAAATGAGGGAAGGGACCACAACGCAGTGATCTGTGGGTATGCCGCAGACATGAAACTTTATGGAACAAACAACACCAAAAGCCCATTTGGCAAGCATCCCCAAAACAATGCCCATGCATTGTGCTGGGGTGGATGCTCAGCACTGCGAGTCATTCCTGGGGAAGAGCAGTGGGAGTGTGGTCTCTTTCTTATCCTATTTAAGCTGTGAGCAGCAGACAAAGTGCCTTTGGGTGGAAACCGAAACCTTTGATGCTCTGATGCTGGCCAAGGGAGAGCCTGAGATGCTCAGATCCTCTTGTAGGTTTTTACTGAACCTCTTCTGGATTGGGAAGCATGCTGAAGATCCTGATCTTGGGTTTCTGTTTCTCCAGACTCATTTGCTGGCTCTGCTTTTGATTCAAGGGTAAGTGTAGGCCATGAAAAGTATGGCTAACAAGTCCACCACAGCCCGTTCTTGTATTGTGCCCTTGGCACAGCACAGAATATTCCTACAGAATAGTGGCTCCAGAGTGGTTGGTCAGGATGTCTGGCTGCAGAGATGCTCACGAGACATCTCCCAGAGGCAGGGGTATTTAACTCGCAGTCTGACACTGTGGGGTTGGCATCAGCTCCAGGGTAGGATGCTGAGCCTATAAATGCAGTGTAGGAGTGCAGCATCCGAGGGCAGTGTGAACCACAGAGCCAGGGAGAAAATGCTGATTTTTCATCTTCTTTTTCCCCTGGACATTTTCAGGTGTCTGAGGCCTGTTTCTTGGGCTGCTGGGCAGACTGGTGTAATTGCAGGGAACTCCATAGGAGTGATGGTGAGCGTTGTTATTTTTAATTAAGAAGCTGCTTTTCCACAACAGTAGCATTAAGGCACAGTGGAGGAGAGCTATGGCAGGGCAGACAAACTTGTTCCCAAGCTGTAAATCAAGCTCCACAGCTCTGATTTACAGCTTGGTCCTGCACTGCTGCGATCTCCAGAGCAGAGCTGAGAACTTGGGTTACCCTCCTGGTTCTGCCCCGCATCGCCTCCTCTAAGGGCTCAGCTGCCAATGGGGGGTTTGCCCTGCTTGCTCAGGGCCTACCTGGAAGAGTTGTGTCATGTTGCACCCCTGGGAACCCCTGTTGTAGCACGTCCTGCTCTGCACCAGTGGACCCAAGAGCTAATGCACAGCCTTGCATGGACAGAGGTGTGCAGGGGCTCTCGTGGACAGGCGCCTCACTGTCCTTGGCAAAGACAGCTGGAGAACCATGCCTGGATGGGACAAGGAGGCTCAGTTTTGGGTGCCCTTCAACTTGTTCTTCAGGGCATTGTCCTGCTGGGAGGGACTGGGCTGGTGGGTCTGGGGCTGTTTCTGGGCAAACTGCTTGTTGTAGAGGATGCTGCTGTACTGCAGCTCTGGGGTCACCAGCCGCCGGCACGTGTGCTCCATCTCCTTATGCAAGCCCTGCTTGAGGTTATAGCCCAAGATCTTTGCATTGCCGTGCTGCAGTGGGCGCAGGGAAGAGTCTTTGATGTCCTTTGGGGCCACGCTGCCTGTCCCTTGCAGGCAGGTCCTCGCCAGCTCTGCCTGCCTGACCCGAAGTGCCTTTACTTCCTGCTGCATGCGTTCCCTGCCAATGTCCCTGTCAATCCTTTCCCAGAAGGTCCTGTTGAAGTAGATGTAGATTTCCCAGTCCAGCCTATTCCAGTCCTTTATCTTCTCCACAATGCTGTCTGGCAGGGGCGACTTGGTGCTGCTGTCCCTGATGTTGAGTGGGAAGGAGACAACGCTGTCCAGGTCCCAGCACAACATCTCCTTCAGCAGCACCATGGACTCATCAAAGTACTCTGAGATGAGAAGGAAGTCAAAGGATGTCTCAATGACCTTCAGCATGAGTTGCACCCGCTCAGCAGAGGCCTCTCCATCGGGGTTGAAGCCAAAGTCAAACGTCATGAGGTTCTTGGCATAATGGCTGTCACTGTTTGCAGGGTTGTAGTAATGGTAGGGCTGGCTGAGGAACTCTTCCAGGCTGCGGGCGCGGGAGAAAGCTGATGTGCCCTTGTAGTACACAAAGGAGGACTCCATGAGCTGCACAGGGTTCCTCAGGATGGAGAAATAGACAGCGGAGCTGGACACCACTTTCTGCACCTGCAGAGGGGAAAAGGAGGTTTTAAAGGGGGGGCAGGGAGAAGGGTCCTGCTCGCTCGCAGTCCTGTGCTCTGGAAGCAGAAACACTTGGTGAGGTTGCAGATGAGGGGTGCTGGGGTGCAGCTCACCTAAGGAACATTTGTGCCAGTTGTGGGAGCCCCAGAAGAGGTACACAGGGAGTGTAGTGACTAAAGCTCCCTACTGTATGCTTCTGCAGCTGGGTGGCCTGTCAGGGCTTGCGTTACGTTCTAACTCCTTGCCTTTCCCCAGATCTGTGAGATAAGACATCTCCAAGGGCCCACCAGACAAGAATGAGATGATAGCACCTGACTGCTATAGTTGCTATCTCCTGGCTTGTCTCGGGTCACAGTGCAATGATTCATCAGACCTAATCATGGAAGCTCTCCAGAGGTGCCCATAATGGGCAAGGTACAATCCTGTCTCTCTTTAGCTTCAACCCTGAGAAGTCTACATGCTCTACAGGTTGGTCCCACCTGGCTCCCCACCAGCTTCTCTCTCTCTTCCCCATTCCCCCGTCCCAAGGCATCAATGGCTTTGCCCGTACCTCTGGCTGCAGGAACCGCATGTGGTGGCAGAGGATGTTGAACCGCTGAGGGTTCCAGGGGGAGAAGCCCTGCACGAAGCTGGCCAAGAAGTGGCGTGGGTAGAAGAGCTGGTTACCCCCTCCATTGGGGAAGGCAAAGGTGAGGTTGTGCGTCTCGCCGAAGCGGAAGAGGATGTTCATGACGGTGCTGCTGGCGCTCTTGTGGACCTTCAGGAAAACAATGTCAGTCTTGGGCTCACATCTCTGCCCTTGAGAGGAGACTCCTCTGCCCTGCTGGTCTCCAGGTGTCACCTCCTCAACCTTAGGGACTTTTGTCTGGCTTGGGAATAATCCCCTCTCCGTGTGTGTCTTGTGGAAGTCCTCTGCCTGTGGAGCCTGAGCAGGATTTGGCATGGTGTGTTTAAGTGAGCTGCCCCACTGGTCTTGGGGGGAATCTATGGCTTGAGGCTGAGGCTGGCTCTGTACCACCACCCGTGTCACTGCTGGTGGTGACAGTCTCTGGTGCTCCTCTGTGGTCATCCTGTTTGCAAAGGTTATGAACTTGCTGATGACAGCACCAGCATCTCCCAACACTGTGGAGGTTCCCCCAGGAAGGCCTGGAGAAGGGCCCTCTCTGGTTGCTTTTCTCAGGCCAGGAAGCTGGGATTTCAGCCTCGTGGGTGACAGCTGAGCTTTCACCTTCTTGCTGCTCTCCACAGGCAGCAAGGTCCAGTGCTCGTCTTGGCTGCCTGGGCTGGTTTCCAGTGGGGTCTCCTGGCTGAGGTATGGTTGAGACTGAAGAATGTCTTGTGTGCCCTCACTCAAGGTGGTGTCGGGCACGGGTTTTCTCTGCCAGGACAGGGAGCCATCCTCCCACAGCACGTCAGGGGTCTGGAGGGCATCCTTCAGCTGCTTCTGGCCATGGTCTGTGGTCTGCTGCAGGGCACGCTCCAGCTCACACTGGCAGTTTCTGTAACAGAGAGGGTACAAGTCTGAGATGCAGAGGATGGAAAGAGGGCAGCTCCTCTGCAGCCCACTGAACCCCCCTGCAGGCAGCCCAAACCCTGTTCCCCCAGCTCTCTTGGGGTGGGTGTTCTTGCTGGTGGGTGTAGGACTCGAGCACTGCCCTGGGAGGTTGCCTTGGGTGCAAGAACTTCCCCTCCTGTCTGAAGAAGACACTGTTGGGTGGTTTTCAGGAGGGCAGTTCTGAGCCCACAGCAGTGGTCAGTGAAAGGCTGGAGGATGAGGTACAGGTTTGCAGTCCTGCCTGTGACCTACCTGGCAGGCTGCAGCTTCTCTGCAACCTGAAGCATGACCAAGAAGAGGATGAGGAGGCTGAAGAAGACCCAGAGTCCACCTGGCTGGCACCTGTATATTGCTTTCAGCTTCCTGCAGGGAAACAGACATTGCAGGCCAGTAGTAAGTAGGACAAATGTGAGGCAGAGCGGAAGGGCGCCTTGAGGCTTTTTAATTGCATTGCTTTTTGAGGTAAGGTGGCATCTCCATGGGTGGCAGAGGTGCACGGGCAGTGTTAACCAACGCACCTCAGAGCTGTGCTCAAACGGTGTAGTCTAGTGGAAATTTCCAGCTGGGACATGAATATCACACTGCAAGGCAAACAGTGATAACCTCACAGGGCCTTGGCTGCTCAGGAACACCTCGCCGGAGCAGCCTCAGCTCCCGCTGTGGCCGCAGGAGCAGGCACCGCTTGCATTTTCCCTGCCCTGCCTGGCCTGGAAATATTGGCACTGTATCCTTATAAACAAAGAGTAAATATTTGTTTTCCCTGCTCTCTGAGGCCTGCCGTTGGAGGTGATTGCCACCTGCTCCAGCTGTGGCTGCAGATATGATGTGTGGAAAAGCTGTCCTGCCCTGAAATGCAAAAATCCAGCAAAAGGACAAGTCAAGCCTTGCCCTTCTGTGCTCCTTGTCCACCCTCTCCAAAACAGAGGCTGTGGAAGAGCGTACCTTACTCTAATATGCCTTGCAGGTGAGTGTGCAGAGCTGAGAGTGGTGAGCCATTGCCTGACCCAAGGCAGGAGGGATCAGCATCCTACTTGCCCTGCCAAGATCTTTGCATTCTTCTTCCTTTGCTGTTTCAGGCCTTACAAAAAGGGGAGATTTAGATTAGACATTAGGAGTAAGTTCTTTCCTGTGGGGGTGTTGAGGCCCTGGCACAGGGTGCCCAGAGAAACTGTGGCTGCCCCATCCCTGGCAGTGTTCAAGGCCAGGTTGGACACAGGGGCTTGGAGCAACCTGGTCTAGTGGAAGGTGCCCCTGCTCATGGCAGGGTGATTGAAGCTTTAAGGTCCCTTCCAACCCAAACCATTCTGTGACTCTATGTTATCTTTCTGCCTTGCAACCAGGGGAGCAGAGCTGCCCTTGGAGCTTCACAAGAAGAGAGAGCCCTGTCAACCCAGCCCTCCCTGTGTTTATGCGGAGCAGAAGCGCTCCTCTGCCCACTGCCATCATCACTTCAATCTCCAACCATTTATCAGCACAGAGGAGCCTACAAGGAGATGACCTCTAGGTAGGATGGAAACACAATTTTCCTTACTGAGGTAGTATTTTACTTAAACGGATAAATAAGTTAAAAATCCACTTACGTGGTCAAGTATCTCCTGAATCTGAGCATGGCGAGCTGGAGCCTCGGCTGAGGAGCGGGCAGTTATCGGCACACCAGGAGAATGGAAAGCAAACACCCAGAGCCTGGCTTGTGTGCCTGCGGCCTTGTCGCCCCTCCCCGGAGAGGACCTGCTCCCTGGTGCCTGCCCCAGGGAGTGACCAGCCTCTGCTCCAGTGAATGGCACAGTTACATGGCCCTGGCCTCAAGGGCTGTTGGCAGCAAGCTGCCTCCTCCAAAATGTCTGCCCCAACAGGCAGGGCAGTGGGCAGGCTGTGGACGCTGCAGGCATGGCCGTGCCACCAGTATCTGCATCCCTGCCTTACTCCTTGGCGTCAGCCATGGCTGCTGGTGTTCTGCTTTGACTCCTAGTGTCCTCCTGCTCTGCTCTTTGTAGTTGTCCCTTCTTTTCCCTTCTTGCATCCTGCTTTTATGTCTTGACAAGGCTGAGGTCAGAGATGGTTTGGACATGAGTGTTTAGTCTTAATAATCTCTGTGTTGATAGTCTGCAGGTCTGTGCTGCTGAGACCCTGTGCAGTCTGTGTCGTACCTGCATGCCATGGAGATAATCCTCTCCAATGCAGCCTGGCTCCACCAACCCTGGGCTGAGGTAACAGCAGTCCCCAGCACCCTCCTTTATTCCCTCTCACCATACTTGCTGCTCCAGGTCTACAGCCAGCCTTTTGACCAGGCTTTTCCTTCTCATCCTTTCCCTTCAAGGCTCGTCCCAGTCATGGTTGGTCCCGCTCATATTTGGGCACCAGATGCCCGGGGCAGTGGTGGAGACAGAGTACGTGTGGCTGTGACATGTGCCATGAGGACCAGTGGCTTAGGCTGTGCAACAGTACTTGAATTTGGCAGTACCAGACTCCCCACATCTCCTGGAATCAGTGGAGAAGACTCTGGTGATGCTGCTTTCCCTTCACCCATGCCCACGGGTCTCAGGAAACGCACATGAGGCAGATAAGTCACTTCCAGCCCAGACCCTGGCTTTCTTGAGGGACTAAAGGACCCAGCTTCTTCCTGGCCCTGACCTTGCAGGCAGGCAGGCAGGCAGCCATTCCCCTCACCGTGGCACAAGCAAGCGCTGCCTCTCCCTGTCCACCTCATCAAAACCACAAGTTTGTTGTGGGGCTGCGGTGCTCTCCACCCATCCTGCGTCCCTGCTATCTGCCTCGGCTGGCAGTTTATCTGGGAGCCCAGCGCTGGGCGAGAGCCATGGGGGAGCTCCCTGTCTTCAAATCCCTCTCTACTGTTGGGACTGAGAGCTGGTGCTTCTCCCCTTTCCTTCTCTCTGGACAACTATGGCACATGCGATCTTGGGAGGGCACAGGAGGTGGCTGAGGGCTCAGGGGGTATTCTATTGCTGTAGGGCATGGGCCACCTTGCCTGCAAGCATCCAGAGACTCTTCAACATGCGAGTGCCCAGACAGGCTGGATCTTCCTCGTCTTTGGTTGTTTCCTTTCTCTTGGTTGTCTCTTGTGGGACTTGTCACTGCTCAGCTCACTTGCTCTCCTAAGGACAAGTCTGTCCATGGGGACCTCACAGGAGGTCCAGTTGTGGTATGTAATCCTGGTCAGGATCTCCTGTGTTCTTTCTTGGGCATGACCCAGTGCACCTCTGGAAGAGAAACTCAAAAGGCAAAGTTGCCTGTTCCTGCTGGGATCTGGTGATGTGGAAATTCAGAGAGGGACAAGCTTTGCTGCCCACTCCCAGGGAATTCTTTGTGCCACTTTGCTGTTTGCTTTTCAGACCGGTTTCCAGACAGCCCTATTCATAAAATGACCCACAATAATTTCTGCATTACTTTCTCCAGGAAACCCAGTGCACCACATTATCAGCAAGGCCAACGTTTGCTTTCCAAGTAATTTTGAAATCTATCACACACCTGGCCTCCCCTTCCGCTGCTGGGCAGCCGCTGGTCCATTAGTGCCTACCTGAACTGATATGTAGTTAATGTGCCACTTTGGAGCCAGCGAGACATGTCCATTAAATTCATTTCCAATAACTTCAGCAGCTCTCCTGGGACATGGCAGTCAGTCTGCTCTGCAATTACCTGCCCATCGGCAGCAGCTCCCTCTCAAAGGATGCTGAAGGCCAATGGGAGCAAATGTATCTGGCTGGTAAGTTGGGAGCCAAGCACAGACAGTGGGGCTGGTACTGACATGCTGCAGCTGCTGGAATCCCACCAGCATGGGGATCAGAGGGGACCAGGCAGGGCTCGTCTGAAGCGTGAATGCTGAAGAACATCTGGATGTGCTCATGTTTAGGTGAGAAGTGCCTCTTAGCTTCTGGCTTTGTACACTTTCTGGCTTGCACTGGGACTTTGGCCCTAACCATATGCTTATTTGTTCTTTAATCTTGGTCACTTTATCAGAAGCCTTTGAACAACCAAATAAGTCTCCACACACCAGGGGAACCGGCTTTGCCATTTCTTTTCAGTTGGTTTTGTTTCTTTGTCAGAGACCTCTGAGAGATTAGAGTGATCCTTCACAAACCATGACTTGAAGCCTCTGAAGCCCGCAGTGGAAGACCTGTATGTATCACAGTGGCTTTGACCTTAGACCAGATCCCTCAGGGTTTTGAAGGATCCAGGATCTTCCAAACAATTCCTGATGGCTGTCCATATTGTATTCACCAAAGACACCAGGTCATGTGCTACTGGGAGGACTTGCTGATCTGATTGCAAGTGACTGGAAGCAGAAATGAAAGTGGGCATCCCAAGCATGAGGTGCTGTGGGCTCTCCTCAGCAGAGGTGGAGAGAGGCAGCCCCTGTGGGTGGATCGTGTGTGTTTCAGTTTGCTCTCATTACCTCTTGTTCTGTCACTGGGCACCTCTGAGAAGAGCCCGGCTCCCTTGTCTTCATTCCCTCCTGTGATATATTTATATACAGCTATGAGATGTACATCCACCTGAGACGACTCTTCTTAGGGCTGAGCAGCCTCAGCTCACTTAGCTTCTCCTCATATGAAGGATGCTTCAGACCCTTCATCACCTTTATGGCCTTACATTGTACCGGCTCCAGTAGAGCATCTCTCTCTTGTACTGGGGAGCCCAGAGCTGGACCGAGCACTGCAAATGTGGCCTCGCCGGTAGTGAGCAGAGTGGGAAAGGAGGCTGCTGGAGCTTAGGGACTGTGTTTGACCTGGGGATGGCCAAAGATGTCTTTCGGACTCTCCATGCCAGGAGTCCTGTGCAGCAGCATCTGATCTGGAAGAGCGGGTAAGTGCTGTGTCCAGTCCTGGCTCTACAACAGAAGTCTAGCTCTTGTAAGAGAATAGTGGAAGTTGTTTTCAGGTGGAGCCTGGCTAGAAAAGCCATGTTGACCAAGGGAAACCAGGTGGAGCAGCTGTTTACAGAGCAAATGCCTTTTGAAACAAATCATCAAGCAAACAGAGTGGGGACCTCATGGTCTGATGCCACCTCCTATTTATGAAAAGCATGACAGGGCACCCAGATTAATGTCCATGTTTCATCCGGTGAAAAAAAAACAAACCCAAACAAACAAAACAGAGCAAAATGCAGGGGAGATTTTATGGTTTCTAGGAAAGCTACAGCATTGACATTAAGTACTAAACAGCTGCCCCAAAGGTGGAGATATGCAGGTTACCCTGGCCTCAAATCTCACTGAGGGGTATTCCTTGGGTTATGGAGGGAAGCTGAGGGTCATCATCTGAAGATGATGGCCAAGATGGGCTGTTCTGCTGGGTCTCCAAGGGGAGTATCCCTTACATACATGTCCTTCTGGCTGAGATGTCTTTGCAGAGTTATGCCGCAAGTGTCCTGCCTTCTGCCTTTGACAATGAGATCAGAAGAAGGAAAATGTCAGTGGTGGAGGGTGCATGGGGAGATACCACAGAGCATTCCTGTGAGCTCCCTGCAAGGAGGGCATCAGAGCAAGGTGTGTGCCATTTGATGCTCATTTACAGCCTTTTGTCTGAGATCTCTTAAAACACTGGTTCAGTTCACATTTGGGATACTTGCAGCCATGACAAAATGTAATTACTGTGTGGGCCATAGTCAGTGTTGGAGGAGGTGTTCACACTTTAATCAGATCTTTCCATCTTCTCTGCATGTCTTCGAGGAGGGACATGACAGTTTGTTCTGCTCTCTCCAAGTCCCAGCTGCACACAAGCGAGAATCAGTTCAGTAAAAGGGAGGATGCTGAAGTCATGGAGTTGTATTTTCCTTTAAATCACAGCAGCAGAGCTGCCTCCTCCTCATATACCAAGAGTATTAGTCCTTGTATGAGGCTATGTCAGATCTGTTGAGAATTTGATCATGGATTCCCACCAGGAAGGAGAACAAAAGAGCTAGTGCTAGCATCCTTGAGGGACTTGGAGAAGAAAGGGTGCCCACCAGAGAATGGGAAGAAGAACTGGCTATGTGGCTATGTAGAAGGATGAGCTTGAAAACAGCCGTCCAGAGATGTGGGATGGAGGACCTCTGTGTGTCAAAAACAAGGGAAAGATGGAAAACATCAGGAGGTGTCCTTGGACATGCCCAGCATCACTCTGTGCTGTCAGCAATGTGTGTGCACTCATATTTGTCTCTTTTGCAGCAATTTCCATGCTGCAGATGCTGTATCTGGTTCCTCCATTCACACTCAACTGCAGCTGGATACTACTGAGAGTCATCGTTCCCTATACAAGGACCTCGAAATGTGGGAGCTTCCTGTGAGTGTTAAATCTTTGCTTCCCCTGGGGGAGGAACTGACTGTCCCCTACAAAATCTGCAGTGCCCATATCCAGAGCACAGCTCTTCTAGGTGAAGAAGGGATTAAAAACTCAGGGCTTTTCACTGCTTGTCCCTGCAGGAGTCATCAAAGCAGCGTGGCAATCGCAGGTAGCTGCCCACAGAACAGGCACAGTAAGGTATTTCCTGATCAGAGCTACTTTTTGTAGGGAAAAAAGCCCCTGAGATTTGCATTTTCTGTCCCCAGTGGTGCAAGAGGAATCTGTTGACATGCCCAGAATATTTTTCGGAGTGAAGTTGGAACTGGATGATCTTTAAGGTCCCTTCCAACCCAAACCATTCTGTGATTTAAATGAAATCCCCACAGAAAGATGTTCAGGTCTGAGCTGTGCCCATCAGCTTCTTGGTCTGGTCCCTGGAGCTTCCACGAGCAAGTGTATGACACCTTCAGCTAGGAATGAAAAGCTGAGAGCTGATGTTCTGTTCCTACCTCCTCTGTTGTATGCGTAATGTACACAAAAGATAGGGGTCTGCCTCTTCTCCCTTTGGCCAAAAGGACTCTGAACTTGAAGATATTCTACAAGGGGAGTTGCTCCTTTTGGGGACCCAGTGCCTGCTGATGGATCTATTTATTTATTCTTTAGTTTATTTATTTTTGCTGGTTTTGCAGGCAATGGTGCTGCTTTGTGGGGTTCACAGCTCAAGGTGTAAATGGGGAGCATTTGCTTAGGGCAGCAGCTGTAGGTCAGGCTCCTCCTGGGGCTCTGAAGCTCTCTGCTTGGTTCTGCCATGGTTGGCACCAAGGTTGCAGGTAAACCACATTCCCATCACTTCTTGCTTTCGGGACAGTGTTGACAGAAGTAATCCAGGGCTTGAACACTGGCCAAGTTACTGCTTTCTTCTCCAAGACCAACAGCTCCCCACTGTACAATGCTGCCTCACATTTATGCTTGATTATCACATGCAGACACAGTAATTAACTTGATTTGGATGTCGGTGCCCTCTTGAGACACCGCAGGTGAGTTGAGGAGTGACGAGGTGAGTCACGGATGGAGTGTGAGCCTTCAGTCTCTGCAGCTGAACCATGAACTCCTGCCTGTGAGCTCCCGTAGTGCTGAAGCAGAGATGGAGGTGCACAGTGTGGCACTGTAATCCTGCTTAAGGCAGCAGGTCGTGGTGGGAGGGAGGTCACGGCACTGATGGTGGGGAGGTGCAGAGCCCCGTGCAGAGCCGGCTCTGGCCATTGTGTTTGAGCAAGGGCTATGCAAACAGCACTACGTGCCGGGCCAAGGCTGCTGTTGCCATTTCTTGTTGGCAGTGGCAGGTCGGAGGTTCAAAGGGACAGATTGGGGTCCAGAGTCTATGTGTGAGGAGAGCTGTGACTCATCAGAGACTGATGGGGTCGGGGCCTGAGAGAACTGTGCTGCGATCTCAAGAGCCAGAGGGGGTGCTCTGAGTAGACCTGTGGGGCAGGAGGAGAAAAGAAGATTGAGGTGGATGCAGCAGTCCTGGGGATGTGGCAAGGAAGAGGAGCATAATCGGCTCATTTCCTTCCTACACAGCTGAGCACAGGCATTCTGCCCCTGCACAGTCTTCTTTCCTTACCCCTGTCCTGATGACTCTGATGTCCTTGCTCGTCTTGCTCCTAGGCCTGGAGAGCTCACTCTCTTCCACGGGGTCTGAGGGCACGTTTATCCCAGAGGAACAAACACTGCTGTGCACACATCATGCTACAGAAAGCCAAGGAGCTGAAGGTGGGAATGGAGCCCCTTGTGTGCTGTGGATTTGGACATGGGTGTTTACCAAACACTTTTGGTAGACTCTCCTGCATCCAGTAGAGCAAGGGCACTCCTGGGTGCACCTCTGAGGACTGATGATGGTGGTTCAGTGAGGAGAATGGGGTGCACTGTGTCTGCATGTACACTCTTCACCACCAATACACAGCAGTAGCATAAGTGGTCCAAATACCAGTTCTTTGGAGATGTTAAATCATCTCCTCCAAAACTCCTGCCTGAAGCTGCAGCAGTTGGGGTAGGTGTGTTTGCTGAGCAAGCAGCTGCTGTTTGCACAGAGGGGATTCATTAGGCTACAGTTTGATTGAACTTTGTTCTGAGGGTCACATATTATAACTTGTGCCCCTCTTACCTCTACTGCCTTGGCTTTGGATCCTGTTCTCTACTGTGGGCCAAGAGAATGAACTTCCTTGTGGCCATTTATTTCTACTTTTCCTGCTTTCTGGTTCTTCCTCATGCTTATCCTCTGTATTTTTTGCAATACACTGACCCAGAGCAGCCAGCAGGACACCTTGGAGGGGCTTCTGGATGGACATCACATCCCAGGAAGCACCATCTTCACATCTGCTGACCCCATCTTCAAAGAGGCAATTCCAGAATAAGGAGAATGCAGGTCCAGCTTGGGAAGAAGTTAAGAGATGAGTAACTGAGCCTCAGGAGAGAGATACTGGAGCATTTTGGGCTGTTTAGCATTGTCCTGTCAATGCTAAAAGGGGGAAGCAATAGATACATGTATGGCTTGAAGTGGCCCAGGACTAACTACAGACATGAAGTCAGAGTAGAAGGAATGGAAAAGCTCTGATGATGTCTGTGTAGCTGCAGTGGCTTTCACCAGCCTTGGAGAGTGTGAAGACAATCTCTGGAGGGTGGTCTCTGTGTTCTCATGCATGGTAGCTCTAGGGAGGGGTTGGCAAGGTGCCCCTTCACAACAGCACCTGTGCCCCAGGGAATGAATATGTTCAGAGTGTTCAGAGACCTTTGGGCCATTGTCTTTCTGTTGGTGCAGGATGTGTCTCTTTCCAGCTGGTCTGGGACCATTATTTTCCTTTGGATGGACCAACACTAGAAGACAGTGCACAAAGCCTTTCTCTATCTTTACATTGCTCCTTATCCTTATCTAACCATACAGATAATAATCTTGTAGATATCCCTTGCTTTCCTTTTCACTATCCAAGTCTCTGAGCAAGAGGTGCATGAACAAGAGAGTTTGACAACTGTGAGCTGGGAAAGAGCTGAGTTAACAAAAAAAATTAACCAAAACAGTGGGATCTTTCCTCAAAGTGGCAACCAGTCTTGCCAGGTGTTAGATGTCAAAAAGCAGTCCCAAATCAAGTTGTATGAGCAGATAGAACTGCTGATCATGGAGAGGAGGGCTGTGTCTTGTGCCCAAGTTTGCTTCTTGGCTCAGCACCCTGCTAATGAAGACCCTGTGTGCTTGCAATGCATAAGCTGGGACAGGAGATGGTCGCAGCCCTGAGCTCAGAAAGGGACATTCCAGGGGGCAGGAATCTGGCTGTGGCATATCCTCCATGTTTCTCTCTGCTACCTTTCCACCCCCAACTCCTTTATTTTCAGGCGGTCACCTGTGACCAGGAGAAATTGCACCATGGATAAAAGAGCAACCTGTACTTGGACATTTGTGAGTACAGTAGGTTTAACCCTGAACTGCCCCAGGCACCTGCATCTCTCCCTAAAGCCAGTACAGCTTGACTGGGATTCAGTCAACCCTTGAATTCAGCTTTGATTGCTGAAGGTGGGAATAACCTCCCCAAGCCACCATGTCCAATACCATGTCCACAAGACACTTCATGTTATCTCTGCTGTAGTGGAGTGGATTGGCCTCTGAAGATCTCTGCCCTCAGATGTAACTTGCAGAGAGCTAAACCAGACCAAGGTGGTCCCTTCTTTTGGCTTCTCCAATTTATTAAGTCCTTTATCTTAAGGAGCTTGACAGAGCTCAGACAAAGACCAAGACAGAGCCTGCAAGTGTTACTATTTGATATAACATAAATGAGTAAAAAACTGATTGTTCTTCTGGTGTAAAACGCTCCCCTGAAAGACTGCTTGCTGCTGTGCTCTTATGCTAGCATCCTTCATGGCAGACAAGGAAATGCAGGTTGGCAGCTCCAGCTTCCCTAGAGCTCACTGTTGTTACGCAAGTCTGACGTCCTTTGACTAAAGGCCAGCCTGGTCTTTTCCTGGGGTTTTCCCACTACAAGGGGAGCAAACATCTTCCTTGTAATAATATCTTCTTAATGCTTTTCATGCTGTTTGTTCATGTTATTTCTCTATGGCGTGTTTATAGAACACAGCTCAGGGCTGTGGAATCCTTCAAGAGCCAGCACTCAGTAGAAGTGCTTGGTTTGGTGGAAAAATCTTTACTGCTGCATATAAAAACAATTGCCCAGGATCAAGTAGGCTGTAAATGGATTGAAGTATGGGATCAAAGCCCTATAAGAGAATCAGGATCTTGCTTGTCATTCTCTGGTCTAAACCGGCAATAGCTTTGTGTTCTCTCCTACATGCCAGGGTACCACAAGAGCTGACTGTTCCCAAAAGGATGGGGAGCCCAACATGATGGCACAGATGGCAGGACTTGTCCATCGCTGTCTCCATACAAGGTGAGCAGGATGGGCCTTGGGGAAATCAGCTGGAATCAGCACACAGTCCAGATCCACCGGGGATTGGGTGGTGAAGAGGCAGGTCTGAGCCTGGGATCAGGCCTGGAGACAGTAGCAGGATGGGACAGAACCTGGGGACCAATAGGCGTGTCCAAGGTGTGGCTGGGATGTCTGCCTGTAGGTTAGGGTATGGACCAGCAGGGCCATGGCCTGACAGGGGCAGAGCTGTGGTAGAGCTGGGGACCAGTGCTCCTCCAGCATTGCTTGGACAGGGACTGATGGGTTGAGCATCCTGGAAGATTCTTGCTGAAAGCTCCTGGTGATGCTGGAAATCTAGGAGGATGCAAGAGCTGGTGACACCTTTTGGTAAGGGGTGTCTCCTGCAGCACTGCACAGCTGACCAGTGTTTCTCCAAGGCTTGTTCCCTCTTTCTGTCCTCGGCATGTGGTCCTGGTGCACCCTGGCAGTGGTGTTAATCCACGTTTCCCATGGCAGGGCTTTCTGCCTGCAGTTGATGCCTCTGGCAGGCGTGGATGTTGGGAGAAGGGTGCTGGTGATCAGAGGGCTGATCACCACCTCTGATGGAGGGGAGAACAACAGATCTCATGTCTTGCAAGGCTATAGACATGGCCATGCTGAGACCCTCAGTCACTACCAGTGACCAGACTCCCCAGGAGTTTGTTCTCCTTTTCCACTGCAATTAGAAGGTTAGCGTCACAAAGCTGTTTCTCCATACAGCATCCTTCGTGTATACCATAACCAATCATCCCACCTCCAGGGCACAGCTGTGTTTACCCACATTATGCAACTTTTAGCAAAGCCTCTGAAACAAGAAGTTTTTCTGGTTCCTTCCTTAGACTTGCAACAACTTTCAGGATCTGTTAGGGCCACGTCACCCTTCAGCTGGGCTTTGCCATCGTCTTCCCAGCACTAAGGTATCCACATGAGGAGAGTGTGTGGGCCAGGGACTGGTGGCTGATGCTGGTGTAGGGCTGTGGGAGATGACTGCTGCATCCTGCTGAGCAGCCCCAGCCAGACATGTGCCCTGAAGCCCCCCATACCTCTGCCTAGGATTTCTGCTCCTTTATCCCTGTAGCTGGAAATGCCAAGAGGATTAAAATGCCACGAGAGTCTAAAAGCCCCCAGGAGGAGGTTTGAAATCTGCTCAGCTTTTGGTCTTTTGCTCCCCCCCCTCTCTTCTCCTCCCAGAGCTCTTATTAGTCCCAAGACTGTTATTACTTTCTACATTGCAAAACAGTAATTACTGGAAAGGACAAGGTGGTTTGAGAGCCAGGGCCCAGTGGTGCCTTCCAGCCCCAGGTGACCAGGGAGTAGAACGGTGAGGATGGGAGGAGCCTTTCCCATCTGGATTTTATCTCTATGAGAACATCTTAATCAGTGACCAGGAAACAAATTCCTCTACCACTTGGGAGGGAGAGGTGGAACTGAAAGGTCAACCCTGCTTGTGGGGTCCCCAGGGATCCTGTAGGCAGGGGAGGTCTTTTTCACTGGTGATATGGTGGTCTCCAACACTGACAGGGAAGAGATGTCCTGCCTGGTCCTGGGTCTGGTGTTTCGTCACTGGTGTCATAGTTTAGCTATGGACCTGAGAAGGATGAGATGTTTGCATGGTTCATGAGTGCTGAGCTGCCAGATCTCTGAAAATCTCGAGAGCAGGAGGAAAATTAATTTAACTAGAGTTCAAAGGGTCTCCAGTAAAGACTAAGCCTTGCTGTTATTCTGAAGCCTTATTTTCATTAATTCCCTTTAATGCTGCTTTAAAACTATGAAGTGGAAGGGAATGCTGGCCAACAGATTATTTTGTGGTTTCAAAGCAACCACTCTTAATCAGCAAGGAAATGTATTGGCCTTAAGAGTGTTTAAATGGGAAGGTGGCTTCAACCAGGACACATGTAACAGCGTGTAACGGTGGTGACAATTTAAAAATTAGCTATTGTGAGGCCCCACATATAGACAGAGGCTTGGTATTAATAATTACCATGAAATAACTAACTGGAAAGGGGTTGAACAGCAAGTGGTAGAGTTCAGCTTGACCCACTGGTGAGCTGACCCTTTTCCCATTCATTTAATGTCCAAACCTCATTTCTGACCAGCGTGGCTATCCAAGAGCTGAATGCAATGCTTTAGGCACTGCAGTGCGAGGCTGTGCCAGCCCAGCTGGGCTGCCCATGGGCTGCAGAGGATGAAAAGAGGTTCAGCCCCTGCTTCTTGGGCCACATCCAGCAGCAAGAGCTGCTCCAGCAGCCAGCCAGTGCTGCAAGCCCCAGGGCTCATGTTGATGACGCTGCTCCATGAAACTGGTTCAGAAGTCTTCCCTTGGTATTTCCCCTTGCTTTCTCTTTTTGTGTCCTTCTCCCTGACCCCACTGGCAGCTCTGAGCCCACAGCTCCTGCAAAGTCACTCTTGGACCACCCAAATCACCAGCATCCTTCTGCATCATGTACAAAGCTGGCTGCATCTGACAGGAGGTTTCTTTTGCCTGCTTCAGTGATGTCCCCCTGCTCCTTTGGCAGCCAAAGATGCAGGACCCAGTTTGGTGAGCTCTTGGGGTGGAATGGCTTTGACTTACTCCAGGCTCACCTTCTTCACCCTTGCTTCCCTCTCACCATGGGGTCTTCTTGACCAGCTCTGCCGCTGTCTTGTCTCTGTCCCCATCATGGTGACCTGGGCTCTGTGACAGCAGCGGAACATCACCGCTCACACCCCTACTCCCTTGTCCCTGAATGTGTGCATGGGAGCTCATGTGAGCTATAGCTCCCTTCTTCTCTGGAAATAAGCCACTTGTTCTGTTCTCACCCACCACATCTTCTTGGATGGTCCAGCACCTTGTCGGGAGTACATGCTCTCATAAAAGCTGCCAGGCATGTCCCATGGAGCTGGACACAACTGTTTTACGGACAGAAGACTTGTGCAACTACTTGGTGTGTGCCCTGGCACAGCACCTGGAGGTCCTGTGGGAGAGGAGCCAAGGGCACTGTGGCCATGCAGGGCTGCTGGTAGTTCTGCCCTTTCTTTCCTACTATCAATATTTACTGGTTTGTTCCCACAGATCTCTGGAAAATACACGGGAAGCAGGGTGAATGTTATCAGCCGCTCTATTTGCAAGCGTGTCTTCATAAGGAATGATTAACACACATCTTTCTGCCTTCCCTTCCTGAAGCCCTTCAAGAATATCACAGCTCCCAAGGTTGCACAGAGTTGTTGGTAATCCTGTTAACCTTTGAGTTAATTAAGCAAACAGGAATCCTTCATTAGGAGGAACAGCACTAATTGCATATCCCAGAGGGTGACTTTTGCATGGGCCGCTGGCTGTCAGAGCAGAAACCAGTGCTGACTTCAGCAAGGGGGCTGGGGAGTTAATGGTGATTTGCTTGAGAGAGGAGGTCAAGAAAACCTGCTTCTTCATCAGTGCTGGACCGGTTTGTGTTTGCTGGAGGGGGGGATGTGAATGGAGAAGATGCAGGGCAGTGGCACTGTCCTGCAGAGATGCTGTGCAAGGCAGAAAGGGTCGAGCTGCTGGTACTTGGCTTTCGAGCTGACCTTAGTTTCCAATCTAAAAATGCGATTCTTTAAGAGCATGACATGGTAAGCAGCTCTGGACAAGGGGCTACAGTGTGCAGCTGTGCTTAGTGCTCCATGCCAGGAAGAGCTCCTAAAAATGGACAGAGAGCTCTTTGTTTGCTGTGTGTGGTTTAGAAATTAAGCAATACTTAGGAGCAAATATTGGTTCAAACAATATCAGCTCCCACTCTCCAGTGGCCAGGTCAGCTCATCTCAGGTAGAAAACAGTGTATTGCAACACAGTCAAAACCTGACACCAAGTATTTCTCCTAACCAGCAGGGAAACTGGTTTATGGCATTCCTTGAAAAAATAAACTAACCTCAATGACTGGAGTTTGAGCACAGCCTCAAAATTGACCTGTAGGTACAATCAGGGGCTGAAAACCTGTTTCTGGAAGGACTGGAACAGCTCTCCAGGGATCTCTCAGGCCCTGGGAGCCATGGAGAATGCAGAGCTGGTCCCAGTTCCTCTGTCAGCCATGAACATGGTTGCAGAGCTGGACTCCCATGGTGCATCTTACTGCTGCTCCAAGCCCCGTGCCAACCCAGGCTCCAGAGGACAATGACCCCTCTTCCAGGAGAGAGCCGGCACTGGGCTGGGAATTCCCTTAGATCCTTACACTTGCCAGGTAAGACAACCCTGCAGAAGCCCCCTGACTTCTCCCTATCCCCCTGAGGTACCTGAACATTGAATCACAGAATGGTTTGGGTTGGAGAGGACCTTTAAAGCTCATCCAGTTCCAACCCCCGCACCTTACACTAGATCAGATTTGCTCCAACCCCCATCCAACCTGGCCTTGAACACTGCCAGGGATGGAGTAGCCACAGCTTCTCTGGACAACCTCTGGCAGCACCTCAGCACCCTCACAGGGAAGAATTTCTTCCTTATATCCAGCCTAAGCTTACCCTCTTTAATTTTAAAACTGTTGCCCCTTATCCTGTCACTACAAGCCTTGGTAAAAGGTCTCCATCTTTTCTATAAGCCCCCTTTATATACTGAAAGGCCACAGAATGGTTTCCCTGGAGCCTTCTCTTCTCCTGGCTGAATGACCCCAGCTCTCTCAGCCTCTCTCCATAGCAGAGGTGTTGAGCCCTCTGACTGTCTTTGCGATTTTCCTCTGGACTGGCTGTAACAGGTCTGTGCCTTTCTTCTCCTGGGGGCCTCAGAGCTGGATGCAGGACTGCAGGTGGGGTCTCACCAGGACAGAGTAGAGGGGCAGAACCACTTAATCACCTCACGTGACTTGCTGGCCATGCTGCTTTGGATGCAGCCCAGGATACACTTGGCTCTCTGGACCACACAATTGCACAGTGCCAGCTTATGTCCAATTTGTCATCCACCAGTATCCCCAGATCCTTCTCTGCTGGGCTGCTCTTCATCTATTCACCACCCAGCAGTGTTCTCTCCCACCTCTTGAAATGGGCATGACTGACAGTTCAGTGCTAGTCTCAGCCCTGTGTCCCACCCTGGTCTATTGATGGAGGAGCAGGGAAGATGATCTAGGAAAATAGGTTCCCATCAGCTTGCTCTTCTTGCCTTCACCTGCTGCAATGTGACCTGTAGGGCCAGGACAGGACAAGAAGTTGATCCCAGCTCTTGTGGCTGTCCATGCTTATGTCCTTGTGGGCAGGCTCCAGCCTTCTCCAAGCCACAGACTTAGAAATTCCCATTTCTAGAGGAAAACAAGTCAACTTTGTAGACAAGCCCAAAGTCCCAGGGGGTGTCTATTGTCCTCTGCCCTCAGCTTATCCCTCCTCAAGGTTCAATTGATCCTTTTTTCCTTTTCTTTCATTTTCAGTACTTTTTATCCTTAATATCTCAAGGTGAGCTGGGTCTCATCACACGTCTGCCAGCCTGGTGACACCTGGGAACATCAGTGTTATCTCCAAAGGCCTCCATTGCTGGATAGGAGCACCTCTACAGAAGTAACTGCTCCAAAAAGTCAGGTGAGATGCTTGTGTTGGGGTGGTGCCTTGACTGAAGCTTTCTCTCTCCTCAGTTAATGTTTTCCTCACATGCAGACACAACCAGAGCTTGGGTCCAGCCTCCTTTCAGCTGCGTTGGCTCCAGGATGAGCTCTGCATGGGGAGCAGCTAGCTCCATGCTAAAGCCAAGCCTTCTCACAGACGAATTGTTGTGCCACCTCTAACTTTATCCCAGCCCAATTACAACAAATGTCCTTTCCTTAGGACACAACCAAAACTCCAGTCCAGCCTTGTCTCAACCACAAACCACAGTGTGCACATAAAGGGTTGTAGTAATAAGGGAGATGTAGAAACGAGCAGTATTATTTTACCTTCAATTTTACTTAGGATTGGGCTGAGCCCTGTTATTTCCTGGGGGTTTGGATGTGTTTATCACCACCACCAATGACCCATGGCTGGCCAGAGGGTGTGCTAATTTGTATTTCTCCATCATCTGTGTCATTTTTAGCAGCATCCTCTTTCTGAAAACAGAACAGCCAGGATCCAAAGTGTTGCAATACAACAAACTTGTGATGTGTAATAATAGTTCAGCTTGTTTCATGAAGATGTGCTGTAGAAGTCTTGATGCTTTCTGGATAACAAGGGCAAAATCTGAGAGGCACTGGCTTAGTTCTGTCCTTTCTGGTAAAGCTGCTCCTGCTTTCAAGAGCCAGAGCATTGATGTCTTATTTTTGAAAGACAACAAGAATGTCTGTCATTAGTAAGAATTGGCCCTTGCTGTTCAATCTCAGTTTAGCCAGATACATGCATTTGATCATGGAAGGAGCTCTCTTTTTCACAAAACCATGCACCCAGGTAGTGAGGTATGGTTCTAGCTAGAGCTTGTAGAAGCATGTGTGTATTTAGTGAGAGAGAGGACCTGCTGTGTGAATAGAAGTGTATTTTTTAACACAATGCAGGCTGCTTCCAGCCAACCTTAGCCAAGAGCCTGGTATGGGCAAGCCCATGGATCTGCTGCATGGAGAGTGCGGGCTATGGGAGAGGATAGACCTGTGCAGGAGATCCAGAAGATCACAAAAGGAGGCTGGTGCTCTTGAAAGCCAACCTGGGAGCTGGACTTCACTGCTGGGCTTCCTACAGCACCCTTGTAGCTTGTGCTGGGTGGATCAGCCCCCAGTGCTGTCTAGGAATGCTGTTAGAACTTGTGGGTTAACTGATGTGGTGCAGGGACTCTTATTTAGTGTGCATGTGCCAAAGTCAACCAGAAGCACAGCCTGCAGCAAAGGTCAGAACAGCCTTTTTGAGACAGATTCGAGCCTGGGACAGCATCACAAAGGCAGACCTTTGTAAACCAAGCCATGCCCCACTGGTCCTGGCTGCAGGGAGATAAATCATGAATGGTACAATCAGGTGGAGAGGTTTTGCAGAGGAAGGGAGAGGAAGGTGACTGCTAATCTCAGCACTTCTTCCCAGGTTCATCCCAAGAATTTAACAAAGGTGCCGTGCAATGTCTCCTGCTGGCGGCAGGGCGTTTATCGAGCTCACTGCTCACTGCCATTGACCCTCCTTGCCTGTGCAATGGGCTTGTCAGATCATGTGGAAGGATCATTTACTGCCTTTCAACCCCATTGCCAATGCACTCAGTGTGCTGCAAGGCAAAGGGTGACAGGCACAACAGCAGCAGTTACTGGCAAGCATGAAAAACTCAGGGCTGGATCCAGCAGGGACTTCGAGGGATCCGGCTGTGCAAGGCAGGGGGTGGCCAGCACAAAAAGAGCCTCCCCTGCAGCGTTTCAGCCTGCAGAGGAATTCAGATGTTGCAACTTGGGAATTTTCCATCTGAAGCCCCTTGGAAAATGAAAAGCACCTTGCCCTGCTCTGACTCCTGCCTGCAGAAGGGTTCAGTGCCAAATTGAAAGGCTTCCTAAAAATGGGCTGATCCAGGGAGGGGGGCGATTTAGGAACTATTGAGAAACAATGAAGAACAAACAGTGTTAGGTCATTGCTTCTGCAAACATAGCCAGGGCTGTTCTTCTATAAAAGGGGGAGAAAGCAGCTCCAGAGCCATCACAGACTTGGAGGGGACAGTCTGTGACCAAGGATACTGCATCCCCTCCACGGCACCTGACTCCCTGCCCAGATATGAAACTCATACTCTCCACTGTGCTGTCCTTCGGGATAGTGGGTAAGTGCCTGCTGAAAGCAGTTTTGGGGGAAAGGAAGAGTCAAAACCTCCTGGGACCCCAGGCTCTCCCCTTGGTGAGGCTGTTTTAGAGCTGCAGCATGTGCCTTGACCCAGGCAGCAGTTAAGTATAAGCCAGGGTGTAAAGCGATGCTTGCTTCAGCAGCTGTGGATCTCTGCCAACAAGGATGGTATTTTGGGCATTAAAGCACCAGCTTTTTCCATAGAGGTCTGCAGCTCCCCACAGCAAGCTACTGAGCACCCAGCTGGCAAGCAGAAGGGATGCTTGGAATCTATGACCAGGGAGGAGACTGCTCTGGAGAGGCTCCACACTTCTGCTGTTGTGGGGCAAAGTGAAAAGTCATCCTTCAGCCACTGCTGTGTTGGAAGAGGAGTAGGAAGAGAAACTCTGTCAGCCAGCAAGGGGGAGAAACCAGAGGGAGACCTGCCTGCCAAGCCTGCATGTGTGTTGGGTTAAACCTGAGGGCAGTGATAATAAAATAGAGCTTATACAACAGACTCCGCATGCTCCCCACTCTGCTCCTGCGTTGCTCTGTTCTGCTGCTGCGGCTGCACTTTGCTCGGACTCCCCTCTATCTTATGCCTAAATCGTGCTGCTGCAGAGCTGGCTCTGCTTGAAGCCATTCTTTTGCTTCTCTCTGCTCACAGCTTCGGCAGGCAATGGGCAGGTAGACATGCCAAGGAGATTGCTGCCATCTACACCTGATCTGGGGACCACTGCCTAGAAAGTAGGGGTTCCCTTCTTGCTGTAGGCATCCCCCACAAAGTGTGGTGGTGATAAATGTCCTCTGGTGGGAAGTGCTCCCTGTGCCGCTGGCATCAGGAAGTCCTCAATCACCTTTGCTGAGTACTAGCACGCAATGTCTTATTAATGGTGAAGAATCCCTCCTCCTCCCCTGCATAGAGGGAGCACAGAGGCTGCCCAAAAGCTCTGTGGCACAGGTTAGTATGGAGGTGTTTGAATTAAATGTGCCATCAAGGGTTTGGAGAGGGTGAACTGTGCAGACGCCTGTTGGTGTGCACAATCCTGCCAGAAAAGGACAGAGTTAGCACAAGCTGGCTGGATATTTTAACTGCAACTGAAGAGGGTGTGAGACCTCCACCTGAGGTCTTTGCAATGCTTCCATTTCCTAGAGCAGCCAGTCAGCTGCACTTACTGACTGGGGGGGTTCTTAGAAGAGAAGACTGTAGTGGTGGTATGGCATCTCTGTTATTAAGTGTAGTGGAGGAGGTGAGATATAAAGAGACAGTTAAATAGATCATCTAGCTGCCAAGGTCACTTAGTGATGTACTGAGTTGTGATGTACTAAGTTGGTGATGTACTGAATATAGTCTGGCCAGGTCAGAGTTGCTCTCCATTTGGGGTTATTTGTAAAGACACTGCTTCAGTGCACAACTTTTTTTCCCTTGTTTTTGCAAAGTCTTGAGTTTGATTGCTATTGAAGTGTGTGGATTTGGTCTCCTATTCCTGTGGATGTTGCTGTGAGACCAAGCTGCTTGAATCATTATTCTGTGCAGGACATACATTACCCAGAGACAGGAATGCTTCTCCCAGGTGTACTTGAAGGTGCACACATCAGGCAGGAAAAAATGACCCAGGAGACAAGCAAGGGAGATCCTGCATCCGGCCACCACTCAAGGATATGACTGCAGGGAACCAGAGATCTTGTATTCACAGAGATACGGTTTCTGTCCAATTGTTGTCATTCTACCTCTCTGAGACTATTAGTTTCTGGTTCTTTCTACAGCCCTGTGTTTTGCTGCTCCCCCCAAGGCCAGCATCAGATGGTGCACAATATCCTCAGCAGAAGAGAACAAATGCAATAGCCTAAGGGACCACATGCAACAAGAGAACACGGCATTGAGTTGCCTGCAGAAAGCAACATACCTTGACTGCATAAAAGCCATTTCGGTGAGTGGGCAGCATCTGTGCTGGGCACTGTGAGGATGTTTGAGCAGCCTTGTTACACCTGGAGAAGGTTGAAGTTTCCTTTGGGTCATTGGTTGTTACTTGTGATCCCCCTGTAGAGGACTCACCCGCAAGGATGCAAGGGAGACACTGGGCAAGTGTTTTTCCCTCATGTGTCCCTGCTCTTTGTTTATTGACTGAAATGTTCTTCTTGTTTAGAATAATGAAGCAGATGCCATCAGCTTGGATGGCGGTCAAGTTTTTGAGGCAGGCCTTGCCCCCTACAAGCTGAAGCCCATTGTTGCTGAGGTCTACGCACAAAATGGAGGTACATTTTCATGCAGTACTTTTAAGCCAAGTGGTGGTAACAAACTGATAGTTCAAGGGCCGTCCTTTCCATGCAGAGCTCCCATGTTATTTGTGTTGGGTGCCCAAGATATTGCCCCTGGTTCCCAGATCCCAGAGGGAAAAGGGTGGTGGGTGCCCCATTTTTGATGTTAGCTGTAATGAAAGTCACTGAAGCCGATTTTGACCTCTGCACTGGAGCTCAGCCTGTTTCCACACAATAATCAGGATCAAAGCAACGTGGAAGAGTCATTCCCAATATGGTAGCTAAGAAATTACTGATACTAAATCAAGAGATGTGGTCTCTACTGCCCCTAAAATGCAGTAATTTTATTTATATGTAGCATGTAATGGACTATGTATAATTTTGAAGACTAAATGGGTGATTTTGGTTTTACAAGGCTTACAGGTATGCTTCAGTGGGCAACAGCATTGGAGAAAAGACTTGCCAAAAAAGATTTGCCAAAAAGACTTGTTGAAGTATCTTTGCAAAACAATGGGCATGTCTAATGTCTGCCCAGTGGCAAAGCATTTTGTGTGTGATTGATAGTATTTCCAGGTCGCTTATCATTGCAAGTTGTGAGGTTCAGTGTTGGTTTGATATCAGCAGTGTAGTTCACCCCCAAGAAAATGGGAAGACGATGTTGCTGATTATTTGGAAGTACAGCACTTTATTCTCTGAACCTGGAGGTCTGGCAAGATTTGAAATGTTCCTGAATCCCACTATTTCCTTGCTTTCCTGTTTTTTTCCTACACTGCAGGCTCCACAACCAGCTACTATTCTGTGGCAGTCGTGAAGAAAGGAACAGACTTCACAATAAACGACTTGCAGGGCAAGACCTCATGCCACACAGGCTTGGGCAGGTCTGCTGGCTGGAACATCCCCATTGGGACACTCCTCCGCCGAGGAGACATCAAGTGGGAAGGCAAAGACTCAGGCTCCATCGAGCAAGGTGAGGTGGGAAACAGTGAGAGAGATGGGCTGGAGTTAAGCTAGCGGTACAGTGAAAGTGATGATGCCTGATCTTCAAGAGAGGTCCAGAGATGGCTCACGGAGGAGTAGAGTCATTGGCATTCTTTGCGCATCCCCTCCCTTCCAGGTCCTTGTACAAGTGGATCTTAGACTAACCATTGCTTCTTTCTCATCCATAGCGGTGGCCAATTTTTTCTCTGCCAGCTGCGTGCCTGGTGCCACCACTGAACAAAAACTGTGCCGTCAGTGCAAGGGGGACTCCAAAACCAAATGCTCCCGCACAGCACCTTATTCTGGATATTCGGGAGCTTTTCAGTGAGTGAAAGTTATTTTTCCTTTGGGGAAATATTCTAGCCTTGTTTTTGTTATTCATACCAGCTTTTGTTATACTAGGGAGGGCTGTGTTGTAACCAGGGATCCTGAGGAAACTGAATTTATAGCACAACTGGGAGTGCTGGTAATTAAAGGTCCAATTAGTAATAACTGTCAGGCAGCTAGTGGGAGATGACAGAGGCAGCTGCCTTGCATGGTTTTGCACAGACTTAAGAATACACAGCATTAGCATGGCGCTAAGTCTAACTGGGCTTCTTGGGCATTGATACTTTGCCATTACATTTTCTTCCCTGCCAGCATAGGATTTTGGGAGGAAAACCACTGCTCTGTGTTTGCAGTTTGTGCTGCGGTAATTTGCAGAAACAGTACATAGGGAGTTACAATGTCTGGTTTTTA